ATATAATAGGTAAATAAATTACACAGACCCCACTAGATAGTTGGGGGTTCAGCACCAAATCCTCTTTATTCAAATAAGACAACATCTTTTATATACACCTCAAAGTAACATGTGACTCCCTTGACCAAGGGCTTCTCACTGCCCATGTGTGGGAGTACTTCGGGACTTCATTTCCCAGGATGCCTCATCTAGCATCTTTCCTGTAACCCAGAGTCCTACAAAGAGCAGCCTTTACTAGTGTAATTGAGCAGCCACGACAATCCAGGTATAAATATGAAGACAGCAGGGGAGGACAGCAGATCCTTCACTGCACAGCCTGTAGATGTACACAGCTGCAAACTGATGTAATTTGGCTTTGCCACCCACAGATGGAAAAAGAAGGATGAGCATGCCTAAGCTTTTACCCCATGAAGAGCTCAAGGGAGAAAAAATCTGGTATCTGGCCTGCTTACATAGCTGTGATTTTCCTCTTGCCCTGGTAACATTCCTGCACTGGGAATCTTCATTGGGCTGGCAATTTAACAGATTGATCTCAAGAACACGCTATTGCCATGCAGGTAAAAGGCACCACTACCCATCAGTATCATTCCACCAATTTTTCCCCTTTCCTTCTAGTAGCAGCTGCAGCCTCCTATACTGAGTCTCTCAGGCTATGCCACTGTACCAGAAAAAGGGAATGTTTTAATTTCCTACATGCCCTGTTCCTGAATGCAATCTCTGAGTTCTCTGATAGAGCTCACCCAGCATCAGGAAAGGAGCAAGAGGTGATCACTCACTCCGCGAAACCTTGAAAGGGACAAGAATATGGTGAATACATGAAGCAGGCTAAGGGGTCTTCGTTTGAGGCATAGACCACCAAGGGGAAGAAAGGAAGCATTTGTATCCCTTGCATTTGGATCCTCCTTCATTCAGAGCATAGTGCCTTGCCTTGCTTTAGGCTTGAATGTTATGATCTCCCACAGTGCAATGAGTATTCCCAATCCCAGTGCAAATAGGATAAACTATGATTCTGAGGTACTGAGTACCACTAGTCCTGGGTGCATGCAAATTTCTCTTTCAGACATCTATGATTTTCAAAATTGTTAACATGATTAGGAACATGCATGGACCAGCATATCATAGTAACTTGTGGGATGCACCAGTGCATTTTTGGGAACCTATCTTTATTGAAAAAGAGGTCCTGAGTGCTGAACTGATAGTGACCTCAGTAAAAATTCTGTTGTCTAAGTCTAACTTGAAAACTCAGGGCCACATGGTCTATCTTAAGTATTCAGAGATCACAAGAAGAGCATAGGTTTTGTAGAACAGGTCCCTTGTAATTTAAATTATCAGAACAATATTGTAGAGATTAATTTTGGATACTGACTTCAAATATGTTCTTTACTAAAAAAATAAAATCCTTATTAACAATACCCTTTTTAAAATTCACTTCTATATATGAATCATTGCAAACTTGGAATTTAGAGTTCAAATACTGTCTGATCTCATCTGAATTGAATGGCTCCTTCATTTTCTCCAGAAGCTCTATTTCAACAACATTTTCATTTATAAGGCACTATTTACTTCAGGAATTGTCACAGGAAAAAGATTTTCTTGCAGCGTCAGGACTCCCTCTAGTGTCATTACAAACAGGATCTTTGGGGATCTATATAGACTGAAGGTTTGTGTTTGCTTTTGATGAGATGACATCCATAACTTATTTATATCTGAGGTCAACTATTCCATATGCAGCTGGCATATTGGAACCATCCTACAGAGGAGGAAGAAAGAACAGAAACTGGAGTATTTTCTATGGTGCATTTCTGTCTCTCTGACTGAATGATTGGAATTTTTTTTGTAGAGGAAACAAATCTTGGTATGCTTTCAAGACATAATAAATCCTTAGGTAATAAAAGTCAAACAGGAAAAAAAAATTTAAAAAGTCAAACCACAGAAATCTGGAAACTGCAAAAACTAAAAAAATAAAATAAAAAATAAAATAAAATAAAATCTACACTTCTTAAGAAACCTAAGTCCTGCTGAAAGCAAGCAGGACTCAGGGTTGGAAAATCCTGAATGACTTAAGAAAACGTGACTCAAAGCTATAGCTATTTAGGCCTTTCTCAAGATGTGACTTTTCTGTTTTCAGAAGTCTCTTAATTTTGTTCTAAATTACCACGAAGATTTCTGAATTATGGCATCACAGAACAGCTGAGGTGGGAAGGCACCTCTGGAGACTGTCTCACCTCTCGGTTCAAAGCAGAGGCACCTACAGCTGGTTGTTCAGGGCTGTGCTCTCTCAATTTTTGAATATGAATAAGGATGAGGACCTCATAGCCTATCTCAGCAACCTCTTTTAGTTCTTGATCTCCAGTGTGAGGAATATTTTTTGTTTTTAAATGCCATTTCCTACATTTCAGTTTGTGCTTAATTATGCTTGACCTTTCACTGGATACCTCTGAGAAGTCTTGCTCCCTCTCCTTCACATACTCCCTTCACCTGTTCATAGACATTGGTAAGACTTCCCTGAAGCTCCTCTTCTCTGGGCTGAACAATCCCAGCTGTGTCCATTCCTTCTCCTGTGTCAGAGCAGATTGCCTTTCTTTGGACAAGAGGTAATTTTGAAATGAGCATGCTAAAAAAGAAAAAATATTACTATGTTTAACAAAAATATTAGTTTAGTGACTGCTATGTTATTCATTAGAGACTGATTATGTTTTTGTCACTGCATTGGTGTAGCTACAATGTGGAATAGATTTTATGTTTCACGTACCCTAAAATAACTGCATCATATTCCCAAGTTTTGTCCTATACCATGAATCACAAGGTATTCGAAAAAATATGGATTATTCTTTTCTACAAAGGTTTGGTAGCTCAGCATCCAGTGTGATACCTCCAATCACGTTATTCATTTCTCTTCCCTTCTCTAACTCAGACCTCCAAGTGGTGACCTGGTGCAGCACAGAAGTGCCCCTGGCTTGCACAGCGTGCTGCATGTGGCCTCATCAGGAGCGAATGTGATACCAGGGCTCTTGCACTCCCTGTCCCGCTGTTTCTGCATTTAACCCCAAAACACCTGGTATGGTTGGGATAGTCCCATTTACCTACCTTCTGCCTCTCATTCAAGCACATTGCTGCAGTATTTTTTCCTAATATGGTTTTGACTACTACTTCTCAAAGCCTACAGTGCAAATGATGCTGTTCCTTCTGAAGTATAATCCAAGGACAATCCCAGAAAAATTCTTTGTCCAGGGCAGGGATATGTTAAGTCAGACACATGTAATTCATGAATGATGCCAAGGTAAAATTTTTCCCCAGGCTTCCCTACTGCAGCACAGACTTTTGCTGATGCACATGTGGAGATCTGCTTTTCCAGTCTCTGTCATGTTATAAATTGTTATCCCATGTTAAGTTCTCTTTTTACCCTTCTCGTTCACATCTTGGATTCATGTCTTTCAGGCGTCGGCACTTTTTACAACTCCTCCTCCCGATTTTCACAAATCTTCTTTGAGTGCCCGTGTGAAGAGAATGAATTTTACTAGGCCGCTGTCTTGGAAATCTTTAGTAAAGCCTTTAAGTGATATCTGGGGGAAGATCACTCCCCACGATTTCCCTCTGGGCACAGATCCCCTCTCCTGCCACATACATTATTCTAAAAACATAGACAGCAAAGCTTGCCAAAAATTTCTAGGGAACATCTAGACTAAATGGTGACTGTAAACCTCAAAGGAAGAAAAGAATCAGACAGCTGACACAGAGAAAAGATTCATGCCATAACCTTTTTTCTCCTTTCTGCAGTTTTGGAATATTGTCTCAGTTTTACTCTGCTTACTTAGTGTCAAATTTCAGGTGACAAATTCCGGTCCTATGTGTAAGGGAGTAACAAGTTAAAAAAATAATGGACCTGTTGAGACACATTGCAGTGCACCCTGCCAGCTGATAACATCAGAGAAAATTTCATGACTGCAAGGCTGTTCCTGGAACGGATGACTTATGTAACTCAAGGCATATCTGCATATTTGAATTAAGTACAGTAAAGGCTTATACATGAGTGGCTCAAGTGTGCTCTATAAAACATTTTTTGAACTGAAACTGTGTTTTCAAGAACAGGACACCAGTGATGAGGTGTGAAATACATAATTTTTTCTAATTTAGGTCTTGTCCTGGTTATAATGTGACCTTATCATTCTCTGCAACTACCTGAAAAGAGGTTGTAGCTGGGTAGGAGTTGGTCTCTTCCTCCAGGCAACTAGTGACAGGATGAGAGGACAGTCTTAAGCTGCAGCAAGGGAGGTTCAGGTTGGACATTATAAAGAATTTGTTCACAGAAAGGGTGACTAGATATTGGAATTGGCTGGAGGTGTTCAAGGAGAGACTGGACACAGCACTTAATGCCACGATCTAGTTGACACAGTGGTTTTGGTCATAGTGTGGACTGAATGGTCTCAGAGGTCTTTTCCAACCTAATTGATTCTGTGATTCTGTACTCATCTCAGTTTCTGATCCCATTGGTTGTACTTCCTGTTACATGATTCTTCCCTAAAGCAACGTGATGTGTTTCTTTACGGACGGTATGCAAACACTTCGAGGGAGGGGGCTGCAGCTAGAAGAGGGGAAGGTTTGGGGATAGCTCAGAGCAGCCTCCCCCTGCGACAGGGAGGCAACGGAGGGAGACTGAAGTGGCTGAACGACTGGCAACAGCTGTACACCACATCCAGGCAGGTCCCTTCCGAAGCACAGATTCAACCACAGCCTTGAGGAGGGCCAAGCCCGTCCGTGGTGGGGGTAGCCGGAGCTGCAGGAAGGAGCTGCCCTGTGTCCCATGCCAGGCTGGTGTTCCTGGAGCTGGGGGCGGGTCGGCGCAGGAGCTGCGCTGTGAGGGGGGCGGGAAGGAGGGGAAGGAGAGAAAGAAGGACGGAGGGAAGGAGGGAGGAGGCCGTTCCGGGAGAGCGGGCGGGGAGCGCGGGGCCGGGGCGGCGACACTCCGCCGCTCCGCAGGGCTGGGAGCCGGGCAGCGGGCAGCGGCTCCGGCATGGACGGCGCGCCCGCCGCGCTGCTGGTGGCGGTGGTGGCAGTAGTGCCTGCCCGCCGGGCGGCTCTCGCAGGTAGGGCCGCGGCGGGGCCGGAAGGCACCTGCGGCCGGGGAGAAGGGGCGGCCCGGCGCCGACCGGCCGCAGCTCCGGTGCGGGGGGAGCGGCATCCCGGGCGGGCCAGGCCGGGCGGCCCTAGGGCTCTTCGGAGCACTGGAGCCACTTGTCGCCGGTGCTCCCGCGGAAGTAGCAGCCCGAGCGGGGACTGGCCGCTGCCCCGGCCCGGTGCCCGGGCCGGCAGCCGCTCGGCCGAGGGCGGGATGCCAGGGCTCTGCCGACCGTGAGACAGGGGGCATTTTGTGACAGCGTGATGTCCCTGTGCCTTGAAGCGAAGGCCGAGCCTGGCCGCTCGTTGTCAGCCCGCGCCGGTGCGGGCTCCTCCCGCTGTGGAGATGCTGTGACTTGACATAGCTAGACTTTCTAATAAAAACAAGGAGAACCCAAGCCACGTGGATGAAAACTTCCCCCATCCCGCCCCCCGACCCCAGTCATAACTGTAGTATGTCATGAGGAAAGTGCTGAGGCACGTCCAACAACATTCCGTGTGATGCCTTCCCTGTAATATGTCTCAAGGATCCTATGGTACGTGCAAGAACATTCCCTGTGATTCCTTCCCCTGCTCTGGCATGGGTGTGAACCAGTAGTCTAGATGTTAAGTGTCAGCCGATAACTGCAGGTATCTGCTTTTTAGCGTACAAGTTAAGCTGTTTTATGCTTGGCTTTTCAGATGTGCCAAGACATGCCAGTCACCTCACTGCTGGTGAGGCATCTTACGGTGCAGGGCCTGGGCAGTCACAAAAATCATTGGAACAGCCAAAAACGTTAGCTGGGAATTGTATTTCTTCTTGAGATACAACTTGAAGTAAATTATAATTTGAGCATCAAAGACTGTTAGTAGAGTTTATTATTTAAATATCTTTTTAAAATAATGGATCATCAAACAGTTGGTCTTTCATGCTCTTTGCAATTCCATGTCAGATGAACCAATTGCCATAACTCTTTCTTTAGAAATATTGAGTGTCTGATCTGTGATTATGTGGTGTCTGTTTCACTAGATGAGAAGACTAGTTAGAAACAAACTAATATTTAATTGTAACTTTAAAAAAATAGTTTTTAGTTCTTCAGAAATTAATGAGAGCCTAATTGGATTTCAATGATTTCAAACGTGTTACTGACAGATTCAAGATGAAAGCAAGAAATACAGCTAGACAGGGAAATAAATGTACAAGTCACAACATTTTGTAACAGATACTTGCAGCATGTGAAAAGAATCATTTTGGGTCAGTTCTGATTGAAGATTCCAGCTAAGTTACTCAGCACAGAACTGAGACATTTTAAAGCTACAAACTTTTGTAGAAGTGTCTGTACACTAGGGAATTCTCCTTGGAGAGGACTGACAACTGTTCATGTGGTGCAGTGGTTGAAACCTTGGACCTGAGTGCAAAGCTGTTTTAGTGGGAAGGAGCTAGAGAAATGGTTTGGTTCTATGGGAAAGCTCTAGGCATGTTTATAGTGCAGGATGTGAGTCCATGCAGTAATTGCAAATGTATCCTTTAATCATTCTGCCTTTTTTAAAAAAAGCTTGTTACATAGAGTACCCGGAATTTGATGCTCTCTCACTAATGTTTTCTCTCTTTTTAATGTCTCCACTTGTGCTGTACAGTCATAGCAAACAAGTCTTTTAAAGTTATTAATATCACAACAGCTTTCTATTTGGTATTTATAGGCTCTGAACACTTGTTTCCATCACTCAAATCTTATCCCAAGGGACAGTCTTCCTATTTTATTTATGTTGAAGGTTGCAAGCTGTTTATCCTGTGGTTTAGGGAAATAAAGATCAGACTTGCATCTTCATCTGTTGAGACCTGCATGTTTTATCTTAGTTATGGCAGAAGCTATTGGGACTCAAGCTATTTCTTTGTTTGCCTAGCATTTAGTGCATGAGGACTCTTAAATGAGGATTCAAGCTATACTTCTATATAGCTGAATGTATTTTTACTGTTTGGAAACGTGCCTTCATCTCTAGATTGTACAACCCCTCCACCTCTTATTGAAGCACCATAAAAGACTTGTTAGTACAGAAGAAATACAAGGTATGAAAAAAAACTGTTTTGAGAATGGAGGGACAGAAGCTGCCCCAAGAAGGGGGACAGAGTTATCCATGTGAATGGCTCATGTTAGCTGTGTAGTGACTCTGAGCTTGGTTTCTTGTAGATACATTTGTACAGTTTTTAGTTTCAGCGATGGAGGAGTGATGAGGCTTATATTTCTTTGTGCTTTGAGTACAGAAAGAAGAGAAACATTATTCAAGGTGTAGCTGTTGGTTGAATTTGATGTTTTTAGCACTAGAGAATGAAAGCTGAACAAAAAGATAAGATGTCAACCAAATTCCACCACTAAGTGATGAATGAAGAACCTTTTGCTCTGTGACTATGAAGGCTTTCACTATGCCTGCCTGATTTCTTGTGGTTGCTTCAAAGAAAGATGTTGTGGACAGAGCTGGTTGAGAATCTTCAGTGATATTATTTGAAACACAATTTTCAAAACTTACACTTCCCGTATAAATGTTACCTGTTGTGATGGAAATATCAGGAAGAATTTATAGCCCTAGCGTTGAGGGTTGGCTGTAAGGGAGAAGGGAGAGGGATGGGTACCAAAAATTAGTAACTGAGTTTAAACAAATTTTTAAATTTGCATCCCGAGTGATTATGCCTCTATTTTCTTGAGCCTTTGTGTATCTATTTCTGTGTCCATAACAGGACATTAATAACTGACATAGATCTGGCTGTCATTCTCAGCTGCTTTCACTTGTCTTTTCTATTTGAGGCCCAGAGGTGTTACAGAATAAGCTATCTGCCCAGGCGCTGCAGAGGAATCTTTCCCTATATGACATGCTGAATTCACCTATTCCAGCAGCAAGGGACCTTAAAGGCTGGTATTGCTGGTTGAACTGCACATACTTTCTGTAATGATGTGATTAATGTCAGATGGTCCANCACATACTTTCTGTAATGATGTGATTAATGTCAGATGGTCCACGACAAAATGTCCCTGTTTCAAAAGCACCAGATTAAATTTGAGGTCAGTCATAACATGGTTTCAGCCAAAAAGCATTCTAAAAGTGTCTGTTCTAGAGGAACTTGATTCCTATACTGTAATAACATGCTTCTTCGTTTGGTGGGTACAGAAGCAGAAATTATGCCAAGGCACTGTGGGTGGTCTTGGCCCAAGATCTTGTTTAGTGTTGGATCAATGCCTACCTGCCCCACCTGCAGTGATGGATTCTGACTCTGAAGAGTTTTATGGAAAGCAAAAGCTTTAACTTATGTTTCTTTTTTCCTTTTTGGGAATTTATATATAGTATAAATATCAAACTTTTTCCCAGTGGTGCACTGCAAAATATTGACTTTGCAGCTTCATTCTAGTTATTCCAAGTTGTGCTTAATAATTCATAGATAAATTTATCTTTCTGCTCAGTTGCCTCCCAAAAAATCCAATTTTTTTTCCGCACATACTCAAGTCTGTTGAAAAGGTAGTGTATTTAAAAGTAATTTTCAATTTCCATCAGCAATCATTACTGTTCATTCAGAAATTAACTAAATTTGGGGGCCGTGTTATAGTGATCATAATGAAACTTTCAGGATATTGACATCTGTGAAAGATTTTGATTTAATTTGTTCATTTCTGAGGAACTTGACTGATAAATTTTAATAGAATCTCTTACTTGCCAGTTCTGTGGGGGTGCAAGGATGAACGTGAATGAATGTAACTGCTTCTTGGAGGCTCAGTAGGGTGAGGAGAGTGGTCTGTCTTCTCAAGGTGAAACCTCTTTGTACCCATAACGTTATATTGATGTTCTGATGTTACTATGATGCTGACGAAAATGGAGTCTTCTTTTGATTAGGACAGGTTATTTCAGACAGCGGGTTGTGCTACCTGTGATCTTCAGGAAGTGTCATGGTTTAACCCCAGCTGGTAACTAAGTACCAACGCAGCCACTTGCTCAGTCCCTCACCCCATGGTGGGACAGGAAGGATAATCAAGAAAAAAGAAGTAAAACCTGTGGGTTTAGGTAAGAACAGTTTAATAATTGAAACAAAGTAAAATGTAATAATAGTATTGAAAAAGGAGACAACAAAAAGAGAGAAGTAAAACTGCAAATCAACAAGTGATGCACAGTACAGTTGCTCACCATCTGCTGACTGATGCCCACCTGTCCCCAAGTTTATATACTGGGCATGTTGGTCTGTGGTATGGAATATTCCTTTGGCCAGTTCAGGTCAGCTCTCCTGGCCATGGTTCCCTCAGCCTCTTGTGCACCTGCTTGCTGGCAGAGCATGGGACACTGGAATGTCCTTAACTTAGGGTTATGTCACCAACATTATTGTCCTACTAAATCCAAAACAGCACTATGCTGGCTACTAGGAAGAAAATAAACTCTATCCCAGCTGAAACCAGAACAGGAAGTCAGTATCTCTGTGCATCATTTACTGAGGAGGAAATCAAGGGGCTCCTCTCCTTACCTGTGACACTGGATCTACAGTTCTGTAGGGTAGGGACAATCTCCTATAGTCCATCTGTACATTAAATAGTACAGTGACAGTCCCAGGCACTGCCAAAATATGAATTTAGCACAAAATAAAAAATAAATATTTAACCTGTTTCCTGACTTATTAGTCGTTTCTTATACTGGAGATTTGTCTATAGTTCTGTTATTCCAATACTTGCTTTAAAGAGGAGGTCTGTCTTTATTGACTCTACAGAATAACATTTCTGTGTACAACAAATGGCATAGGTTCTTGCAGTCTATGAATTTTATGTAAGACTTGTAAAGTGTATTAGAGCTATTTGATGAAAGCTTTTTTTGAGCTAGAAGTACACTGGTGAGGAAGAATTCCTTTTGATTCCAATTGGAACCAGTTTTTCTTAGCACAGTGGTGACTCCTCCTTTGGAAGAAATATGTGTCTTTCTGAGGATAAATCTGAGGATTTTTCCTGTGTTTCTCTGGGTACTTTATATAACTTGCTATTACATAGTTTTTGGCTGTGGGGTTTACTGAATGTTGTTCTTGGGAAAGCTACCTAGAATTTTTATATATCTTACAGCAAAGTTTTAGATACTGTTAATGATTATTTCATGAAGCAGCTGCTTAATGAGATCTTTGATTTGGTAGTCTGTGCAGAATCCAGTACAGAGTCTGAGTTAAAGCCACACTTTGTAAGAGTCATCAGAGTGTTTTAGATTCAGCACGGGGACAGCTAATGTAGAGACTGGAACAATTAAACCTCAAAAGTCCTTTGCAGTTAGGCTTGACTTTCGGAAGAACTATGTTAAAATGAGGAAGTTATTTCAGAATGAAGTTAAAAGCTGCAAAATAAATATTTAGCTGGTGGTGTCCTTGCAGAGTTGTGTCCTAACACAGCTGAAGCATCATAAACCCTAGCAGATGTAATTTGAAAATAGACACATCTGGGGGAAAAAATAAAAAAGGTCAAGGATCAGCTTGAAGGAGTCAAAGCTTTTACTAAATCCTTCTTAAGTACATCAAGAATAAAAACCCTGCTGAGGGTCTGTGCAGCCAGTTGATTAAGTTATCTGTATAAAAGAAGCACTCAGAAAGGGCATGGCTACTGCAGGGAAGCTAAATTAAATGGTGTTTGCTGCTAAGTGGGAGGATTCCCAAACTGAAATTTCTTTTTTGGGGTGGAGGCAGGGAAAGAGAGGGGTTGACCTAAAAAAACTTGAGGGTGAAATAACTTGCTTGCTAAGAGTGATGTCTGATCTCATGCTTTTAACTCCCTGGGTACCTGGAGCATGGATGGTGGCAGATTTTATTCCAGTATTTAAAACAAGAATGACCAGGGGTCTGTAAGCCTGACATCCATACCTGTCAAATTTATAGATACTGTAACAAAGGATAGAAGATGCACAAGTGAGTAGGATCAACTTGGGAGGAGTCTGTACAATTTCTTTAAAGATAGGTTCTGCTTTACAAACCTGTTGCAGCTTTCTTGACCTGGGTGTGCAAGTCATCTAAGATTTAGATTCTCAGAAGGCTTTTGATAAAGTTTACCATCAGAGGCTTTTGAACAGCCATTGAATAGGAGTACAGGGCTTTGTATCTTAAGTAATGGATTAAGTAGGAGGAGGGGTAAATGATTGATTTCATTTTTTCATATGTCAGAGGGAAGTTACTAGCAGAGTTTTAGAGGCTTTGGTCTTAGGATTTGTGTTGTTCAGTATAGTAGTAATGGGGATGGTAAAGGCAGTGAGTAGTCAAATGAGAAAGCTTACTGATGTTACAGTCAAGGCAGAAAAGAATATTTGAAAGAAATTATTCAATATAATTGCACTGCTTCTGCAGTTCTCAGTCATCACTGTTGGAGATTGAATACTGGGCTGTATTCACGCTTTGTCCTGGTATGGCCATGGGGCTCTTATTTTGTTGTGTGGACTGGTGAATTTGGTATCTGAGATTTATTTTAAATTGTGCATATTTAAGTTTATAGAGAGTAATATAATTTTTTTTACATACATTTAGCTGTAGATAAGAAAAAGAGAGGGTTTTTGTGTGCGATTAAATTTCCTGTTTATTTTCCTTTATTTCTTTCAGTATCGTTTTATGGTGATAGCTTTGTAGAGCTGAACACGGCAGAGGTATCCTCTCAGACATCTTTACAGTTGCAGTTTCGAACAAGCAAGGCACAGGGACTACTTTTTCTTGCAGCTTTGAAGACAGATTATTGTTTAATGGAGCTACACTCAGGATTTGTACAGGTATGCTTTATAACTGTACCTAAAAAGGTATGTGTAGCCTGTATTGCTCAGTGTTTTTCTTTAAGCTGTTGTCTATAACAAGTCTCAAAGTTTCTGTTTAAAGAAATGGAAAAATCACAAAATATAATTGATAATTTCAAAATATGGTATTTATTTCTTACAATTATATCTCTATAGGCTTTGAGATATCTAGATTTTAAAATCAAGGTCATTGTGTTCAAAGCATGACATTCAGTAAAGGCAGAATTTCAGATTTGATGATGTTAGCATCATAAAAAATGTTTGGATCCAAGTAATTGTTTTTCTGCAAGGTAAGGTCTTGAAAGATCATTGTCAGTTGGGTTCTCAGGATTGTTGTTCCTTGCAGAACTGCAGAGAAGTCCGTTCCTGCTTCTGGAGTTATTCAGGTCATATTTGTCATGGCAAGTAAACCTACACAGAATTTTAGTGGGATTTTATTTTTTCAATTATATTTTGTAAATTATGTGTTTAGTATGAAAATGTGTGAAAATTAATGTGTTAACCATATATTGATATATGACTGCGAAAAATACCACTTTGTATTTTGATAGTTAAAATTCTATCTCTTGCAGTTGAGAATTAACTTTGGTGTGGGGGAAAGAGTTCTGCATTCTCAGCAAAGATCTCAGCTGAATGATTTAGCTTGGCACCTGGTTGAACTACATCATGAACATGATAATGTCACATTGGTAATTGATAAACATGATAGAACTAGTGCAAAAATACCTGGAATTCTCTATGAATTAAACATTGATTATGGATTCTACATAGGTGGTACTAGTAAACTTGATGTTCCCTACCTTGTTGGAGCACTTCCCAGTTTCCGAGGATGTATTGATGAAGTGTTGTTCAACCACAGAGACATTCTGATTCCTCTGAGACCTTCTCCTGGCTTCAAAATCATCCATGAAGTTTTGGTGGGATGTAGTGATGAATTCTTTGTGGGTGAAGAAGAACCGATCAGTTTCTTCAGTTCCATGTCCTATGTTTCTTTCCCATCATGGAATGTGGACGATGAGGGAAGTTTCGAGTGTACATTGCAAACCTCAGCTGCACGTGGCTTGCTGCTTTACCACCCTGGGCAATTGGGAGATTTCATTGCAATGGAAATGGAAGGTGGTTTAATTAAAGCTTATGTTGGAAAACATAGACATAGAACCCATCTTTCTTCTCGTAGATCGGTCAATGATAGTCATTGGCACTACATCAAGCTGAAATTTACTGCAGAATATTTGCAGCTGACATTGGATGAAGAAACTGAAAAAATCATTGCCTCCCCATAGTAAGCTGCCAATTCTGAAGGGATCCCTCTTTGTAGGTGGTGTAGAAGACAGCATACGATCAGAAGTGGTTAAATTAGAGCTAATCTCAGTGTCTGGGAAGTATGCCAGAGGAGGATCCTTCAAAGGTTGCTTAAGAAACCTGAAAGCCAATTCAGAAAAGAAATCGCTGAAGAATGTTCTGGTAACTAAGGACATTTCAGCTGGATGTGAAATGCAGAGTGCTTTTAATACGAATCTTTCTTTAAAGATGGCTGTAAAGAACCCTCCTGTGAAAACAGCCCCAGTATTTGCCATTTCTCATGAAAGCTCTGTCTCTCTGGGCAAGGAAGACAAGAGCCACCTTTTAATTCTAAGTAACTTGATTGTGCCAGAGGGTGGACAAGCTTCACTCGAATCTAAGCATATTAAGGTCAGCTTAGACTTTGAGAAATTAGGAATTCATCAGTCACAAATTCTTTTTGAAATAAAGGAACCACCTTCTCATGGAGACTTGAAACTGAATATTGGACCAGTGCAGGAGGTAAATACATTTACTATACAAGATGTGTGGCAAGGGAAGATTCTTTATTTCCATGATGGCTCTGAGGACACTTACGATTATTTTAATTTCTCCATTTCTACCAGCAGCGAGAAGATCATGCCTCCATATTTTCAAGAAAATGAGCAGCATGTGTTTAGCGTTACTGTCATTCCAGTAAATGATGCACCTGAGATCGCGCTTCCTGAGGGAAACTTGCTGCTTCTCTAGAGAACTCAAAGAAACGTTTGACTAGAGACCTGATAAAAGTTCTAGATAAGGATACAGATTCTCGGGGTCTCAGTCTTTCAGTCCTTGGAAATCTGAATGCAGATGCAGGATTTTTAGAAAACTCAAAGCATCCTGGAAAAGCCATTACTACTTTTTCTAATGAGGACTTAAGAGAAGGTACTGTTTTCTTTGTCCACACAGGTGTCAAGAACTCAAGGCTTGTTCTCAGGGCAAGTGACGGTGAGAAGGTGAGCAACACTGTTGTGTTACGTGTCACGGTAGTTCCTTTGGATTACAGAGTTGTCAACAACTCAGGAATAAATCTACTCCAAGGTATTACAACTCTTATAGCACCTAGGCATCTGGCAGTTGAAACAAATGTTGTCCTCCAGGAACTGGAAATACAGTACGAAATCACAGAGCCACCTCAGTTTGGTCAAGTCCAAAGGCAGCATTCAAGGGAGGAATGGAAGCAAGTCAATTGTTTCTCTCAACACTCTCTTTAGCGCAGCTGTGTGAGATAGTGTAGCACTTCTAAAGAAATTCAGCTGGAAAATGTTACCGACCAATTTAAATTCAAAGTTAGTGTAGGAAACAGAATCAGTGAAGAGCACACATTTCCAATCAAAGTGAAATGGTTAAGGTACACTTTACTGAAACACAGTCCTCTAGAAATTGAAAAGTCAAAAAAGAAGTACTTGAATTCTGATAATCTTTTTGCTGTTATTGCAGATCTAGAAATACCTGAAGATGAGCTTCATTTTAAATTGCTGTCTCTACCAAGAAATGGACAGATACTGCTTAATAACCAGCCTTTGAAAAAAGATTCAATCTTTAGCCAAAAAGATATTACTGATCAAAAAGTGGCATATGAATTAATCAGCAGATACCATGAAGACAACTATGATTCATTTAGATTCCTAATTTCTACAAAGTATCTGGAATCAAATTTGTATGACTTTGAAGTCTACATCAAATCAGATTTTGGAAACATTATTTTGACTAACAATGGCCTTAATGTTACTGAAGGTGAAGGAGAGTTAATAACGAGCACAAAATTGTTTGTGCAAACAGTAAATAATAAAACTTTCCAATACAAAGTTATACAGTTTCCTAAGCATGGGAAATTAAAACTTATTGATTTTTCAGGCCCTTCTGAGAATAATGACAATCTCACAACTTTCACTAATAAAGATATAACCAATAACCGCCTCATGTATGTGCATGACGATTCTGAGACAGTGTTTGATGAATTTCTTGTCAGAGCTTCCAGCAAAGAGTCAGGAAAGTGGGCAAACTTTGATCCAGAAGTAGAACCTTTGTCAGTAGAAATTAGATTCAACATTTCTGTCCAGCTGAAGAATGATGAGAAACCAATACGTGTGATTGATACGATATTTAACATAGTGAGAAATGGGCAGTGATTATTGACTTTGGCAGATCTTTGCTATCATGATCCTGATTCTGATTTTGATGATGGACAGTTGCTATATACTGTACTAGACGTGGTATTTCCAATGGGGACTTGGTGCTAACAAATGATACTTTGCATAGACTCTACCAATTCAAACAAGTCGACCTGGAGCAAAAGCAAGTCCTGTTTCTACACTGTGGTGCAGATTTTGGGTGTTTTGTTCTTTTTGTGACAGATGGCAAGCACTATACTTCTTTGCTTCTAGAAGTTAATGCCACTGATCCTTATGTTAGGCTGGCAAATAATACAGGACTGTTGGTTCAAAAAGGGAAAGCGGAAACTGTTTCAACAGCTAACCTGAGTGCTACTACAAACCAAGACATAAGAAATGATCATGAGCTTACGTATGAGATACTCTCTTTCCCAAAATATGGAAGAATATATGTAAATAATCTGTTGATGGATTCCTTTACTCAACGTGATCTGATAAAGGGGCATGTAACCTACAGGCATGATGACAGCAACAACCTTATTGACAAATTCAACTTTACAGTCTATGCTAGAGATGTCCATCTAAATGCTGAAGTGCAGGTTCGCATATATTTGGAAAGTCAGCAGCAGCCACCAAGGGTTGCAAACAAAAACAATCTCTTGGTTGAAGAAGGAAAACTAGTTGAAATCAGTAAAGGCAAACTGCAAGTAAGTTAACTGTGCTATCTATTCTTCCAATCTTGTTGCAAGTTTTCCTCACTGTTTTTTTCAGCCATTGCAGTGTCTTTAGTTTGTGTCTTCATTTCTTTGACTCCTTTTGGTTACCACTAATATGACTGCATTCTGGATGCTTAATTGTGTAAATACTGACACTAGCAAGCTTCCATTTATAGGAAGGAAAACTGATTATGTTAAAGAAAAAAGGCTGCCCATAATCTTTGCATTTGTTATATACTGGTGCTTGAAAAAATTAGAATTTGGGGATGCTGCATGTATATATTTGTTTCACTTCTAACAATTGTTGGTACTTCATGTACTGTTCTTAGTTGAGCTGGTGGGAACTGCCAAGGAAGAAACGGTTTTGGTTCATTCAGTTTGGAGCTAGCCCAGTTAAAACTGTTCGAGGACTACATCCAAAATTTTAAAAACATCAGATCACAAACCGGAGGCCGTCTCTGCTTAGTTAATTCTTTCCTGCCCGTTGTTTGTGGGTAGCCTTCCAATAACCACCACGAGGGGGCTCTGACAGCACGTTTCTGTGCTGCTGAAATCCTTGTTTCAGGCAGGATCTATAGCTCTGGGGCCATTACTTAATTCTGCAGTGTATTCCTTTTCAAAATTACAAAACATACTTGTGGTTACAGAAGGCTCCTAGGTCACATATATTTAATACGTGTCTGCTCAAAGTATTGTATTGTTTTGGGAACCGTGTAACTCAATTAAGGAATGCCATTTTAGTTAGGTAGACAGTCCCAGGGTTAAAAGTGAAAAATTCAGAAGAGAATTATAGTGTTTCTCCTGTTTCCATTTGAACAATTTTGGGATATTTCCCTAAATTTAAGGTTGTTCATGAAAACAGTTCTCCATCTGAGATTGTGTTCACAGTAAGAAAGCTTCCAGTACACGGATACATTCAGAAATTTTCCTTGGAAGAAAGTTATCTCAGTTTTGACCAAAGGCCAGTTTTGAGCTTCACACAGCAAGATGTCGACGAGGGCAAAGTCCAGTATGTGCAGACAGTTTCTAACCAACCAGAGGACCATTTTTTTCTGGATGTGACCAACGGTGTCCAAACAGTGAGTGGAATAGAGATCTCTGTAGACATCATCCCCAGAATCATTCCACTGGAAGTACAGAACTTCACAGTAATTGAAGGGGGCTCGAAAGCCCTGGTGGAAGACTATCTAAAAATTTCTAGTAGACATTTTGTAGGACTCAGCTGTGAATTCATTTTAACTGAGCAACCAAAACATGGGTATGTTGAAAACTCTCATGTTCCTGGAATAAAGTTAACCACATTTACCAGAAAACAGGTAACACATTTAGATTCACTTTACTGTAATCATGATGGATTCTTTGTATTGCTGAAAGCTGTGGGGTTTTGTGGGAGGTGGTGAGATGCATGAGTTTGAGCTTTATTCTGGCCTTGAGCCCAGCATCTTTATGCAGTTTCTAGCTGGTCATTTGGAGTGGGGAGGAAGAGTACCTTGTATTGAACCACATCACTTCCTTGTGTGCTTCTGTGATAAGCGCAGTGGATTGATGGGCCACTCATTCTCAGGCAGCATTGTAGATACTCTGGAAATGTAGGATGACATAAGGCTGTGGATACATTTTGAAAAGACTGGAGGATATGATGTGTAAATTGAACAAGGAAGAAAGTGGAAAAAAAGTAATTTTTTTAGGTCATGTCTTTGTTCCAAGGCAGCCAGTATATGCATGATATACTGATTTTCAGTCTTTTAGCTCCAAGAAACAAAATAGTATCATAAGTCACCATTTACTAACATAAGCATAAATAAAGTCTTAGAAATCATAAAATGTTCATGCAATAAATACAGAGGGGCACGACTAGACTTGAGTATTTTTCAATGTGAGATATATTTTCTTCTAGCCTCCTTAGTTTTTCAGCTTGTTGTATTTTTCAGGTGGAACAAGAATTAATCTACTATGTTCATGATGACAGTGAAGAACTGATGGACAGTTTTACTGTGATAGTAAATAACACGGAGTTGTGGAAACAAAGTTTGCCCCAAACTGTATTTGTAACTGTTACTGCAGTAAATGATGAAGCTCCTGTTATAAAAGTTAACAAAATTCTTCAGGTATGTTAGTCAATATTTTGAAGTCTTAAAATTATTTCTATTATTTTTGATTTACCATTTGATGCACCTTCATTAACAGAGTATTATATTTGTCTCTGGTGGGATAGTCAATATAATAAATAGCAGTCCTAGGATTTAGAGAAATTAATGCTAATGAAAGGAGGCAGTACAGGCAGTACATAGCTAATTTGTGTTTAGGAAGATTCTAGTCATCATGGAGAACATTTTCTGCTGTTCTAATATAAAGTTTATCTAGAAGGCTGAGTGAGCGTTCTTTTAATCTTAAAGTTACATGAAGTGTTTTGGACTGACGGGCTTGTAGGAGTGAATGGCTGACACCTGGATCACTATTATGTCTTAGTGTTGTTTGCTAGGGTATCTTGAGGGCTGTTAATGAACATGTAACTTAGAAAAGTGCCAAGAGTAGTGATGATGAGAATGCCTTCCTACCCTGTGCCTGTTGGGTATTTCTTGTACAAAACAGGAATGTTCTCTTCTTTAAAAGTTGCAAATAATACAATGCAGTCTATGCAAATCTGGGGTGTTACAGGTCATCAAAATATTGGTGCAGGCACTGAAGCTATTCCTGTGTGATACTATAATCTAAAAAAACAACATGTTAACTTTTTTCTAACTCGGCCTCCCCCCAAAAAAAATCCTGAAGAAAATGTTAAAATTGTTTACTAATGCTACATTTTGCTCTTAATAGCTGAGTTTTTAATCTATTGATATTTGAAAAAAAAATCTACAACAACTATTACTTCAATTTCAGTGCATTTTCAGATTGATTAATTAATTAATTTATTTAGCTATAGCATTGTTATTTTTTTGCATTATGGTGGCACTCAGTAACCAGAAACAATTTATTATAGGCACTGTGCCCATGAAGCCCCCATTTCCAATCTGAAATCTGATGAGTAAAAACAAATTAAGTGACTCAGAAAAGCAGAATGAAAGGAATTTGGATCACCTAATGAACCAGTGGTCACAGTAAACCCACCTGAGAGACAGCAAGAGAAACAAAATACTTAGGAATAGGTTTGAAAGAAGCTAAAACGGTACTTTGAGATGATCATAACGCTGTGTTATGTATTTAGCCTTTTCACACGAGAAAAGACATTTTTAATCAGCAGTGGTGGTATTGCACAACTTCGCAATGGCAGCAGGTAGTCTGTTATAATCTGCCCACAACCAAAGACACCCTGCCTTGTGCAGACACTGCTGGGCAGAGGGGCAGACTCCCTTTACAAGCAGTTGAGTAATACAGAGTAAAAACTTTCCTGGTTGAAGTAATTACATGTATTGTGCAGACATCAGCACAGCATGCAGTAATGTTTAGTCACAGGGAAAAAGGCAATATGTCCAGTCAGACTTTTCAGTCTCCATTCTGGTGCATTACTGGCATTGAACTTCAGTCTTAATAAAACGAAGGCTATACAGTGCATGGCAATGCAGCTTATGGATTTTTCTAAAAATATCTGTAAGTGTAAGCTTCCCGAGAACAATGATAACTGGGGAGGCTGTTTGCTTACCCAGAACAAGGATGCTGCCTTTGTGCCTGTGATTATGCTAGTCAGGCACATGCTGTTGAGAAATAATCTTTGGTTTTAACCAATATGCACACATATGGTGGATTCGTGTGCAGTCTAAAACAAAGCTGTCAGTCAGGTTATATACTGGGAGGAATACACTGAGATGATTCTTCCTCAAATCAAACTTGCACATCCCAAATAAGTGGGAGAAAATGGTTGAGATGAGATAGGCATTCCTGTGTAGGGTGATAGTGGCTGACCCCAAGTTCTAGCCAAGCAGTTTGTGCTCCTCAAGGGTATTGCTAGTGGTGGCTGCTGAGTAATAGACTGTTGCTTTTAAAAATGCAGTAGCTCTTTCATATATTTTGTGGGGTTGGGAATGTATAAAATGAGGAACCAGTACTGTGAAAACTAAAGTCCAGATGAACCGTTTGAGTTGACTGAAGTTCAGCCCCTCAGAAATTTTGCAGGTTACAGTATAAAGAGTTAGAAAGCAGTGCTATTGTTGGCATCTGTTAAGAAATAGCTTCTGTGAAGAGCTGCATTATATAGCAGCTATGATGTTGGTGTGGATATATGGAAGTTAATTTTCGCCTTTGTCATGGGCTTCTGGCCAAATGCCAGAAACTGTTGGTCATGTGCACATATGCCGAATGAGTCCAACTCTAGCTCCCCCACTTCAGAGGCATCTATAACATCCTTTCTTCAAACAACCTTGTCTGTTGTTACCAAGTTTGTGTACACCATGAAGATTATGAACACTATGGAGTTTGTGTGACAGACAACCAAACATTTTGGGAGTTGTTTCTGTTTTTTCTCTAGGAAGTGAAAGTAAGTGAAGGTTTTGAGTGGGGTTTAGTGGCTTTCTTTTGTTTATTTGTTTTGATTTGTTTGTTTGCTTTTCCTTGACTAAGAATTTATGACATAACATATGAGATACAGAAAGTTTCATAGTCCTGAGAGCTTCTGTAATGTATGGTGGTAATCCTTGCATTTCTTTTAAAGCCTTTCCATTGGAACTAATTCATGAGGGGTATGTTTACTTAGAAACTTATGTTATCAGCATTTTAGGTATAATTTCCTAAAGTTTCCACACTTTCTATGGACATTTTTTTCTGTGTTGGGAATGGATAAGGGAAATAGGATGTTTTAAAGAAAATTACCATCCTGGCATTACTTGCTGCATTTATGTATGTGTTTAAAGATATTTGTAGTTAGCAATACTATGAAATGACTGTATCCTCCTGTGGTAGTTTGGTCTAGGCCTTCCTTGGTGACCAGTTTGTAGCCAAGGAAGTGCCCAGATTTACCCAGTATTCCCTATGATTTTTACATCAGCCGGGCTATAAGAAGAAAGGAGGAAAGGCCTTCGGTCTCTTTCCTTCCGGCGGCTTGGAGGTGCAGGTTCCCTGCTGTTGAGTCTGGAGTGTTGGGGAGCGAGGCCTGGTTAGGCCTTGTCGACCTTGGGAGACGGAGGTTGCCGCGATCGTTCCTGAGCGACTTTCTGTTGTCCCAAGGAGAGTAGTAAGATAGTTTTTTTGCCAATTCTTTTAGTTGCTAGATCTCGGGCTACTGATTGGGATGTATATATATATTTTGTTTTGGTTTTGTTCCTTTTCCCTTCCCCCTTCCCTTTCCCTTGTGAAATTGTACATATATTTCAATTGTATATAACTGTAACATAAGTGTAAATATATTTTTATATATTTCTTTAGCTGTCTCTCTCTCGTTTCGGTTTTCTTGGTTGTTTTTTCTCCCTCTTCTCCTTGAAGTTTGAGGGGGGGGACTTCTTTTGGTAAGGTTTCGAGACTTGGCAGGGAGCCAACTTCAAACCATATCACCCCCTTTTGCCACAAGAGGGCTATATTTTCCTACAATTAGGTTTAAAAAACCCCTAATTTGTTGTTTTCTCTAAGTCACTCTCTAAAGTGTTAAAATGGCTATGAATATAGAGTGTCTGGTAAGATATGTGGCATGCAAGGAGATACTGATGAGCCAAATGCTGTAAGTAGAGCAGAATGAATTATTTTCCATTGGCAAGGTCATGAACCTTTTTTGGACCATGGCTGTGGGATGTGTTAGGCACATGCAAAACTAGTGTAATGCTACATCCTGGAAGTTCAGATACAGTTCTTATGGTGTTCTTCAAGGACATCTTGATCCCAGATATGGAAAATAAGATTCTTGTACATTTCTTGCTGTACTGTCAATGTGTGCTTCCCTGCTGCTCTTTTCAGCTGTTAGATCTCCTTTCATTCCTCAAGGATCATGTTGCAGGTCATGTTTAGTACTTAAAAAGCATTGTGTGTTAATGTGCTAGAAAAATGGAATTAAATACTGGCATTATAGAAAAAACACTTTTTTCTATAATTAGAAATTATAGTTCTTTTTTCCTTTAGTAAGGAAAAAATTTGAAACTTAATAAGTAATTTGTAGTAACATCCATAGTAATTTCTTATATTTTTGCATATTCTATGTCACCTTTTATTTTCTGTGTAGAATAATCTATGTTTATCTTGTATTGGCCTCATAAGCCACCAGCATGCCTGTAACAAATGTGGATAGAGCCTTCCTAAATCTTTGTTCGCAAAGCCCAGCCATGATGATGAATCTACATGAGTCCTAGTGAGATGAGGGTCTTGATACAAAACCTGTGACACTGATATGCATATTCGATGCCACTCACTAAGTCACCCTTTAGGATTAGTTATCATCCTGTGTATTCATAGGTGTCATTCCTTATCAAAATTTGATATTAGTAATTACATTGCAGAGAAATATATATTTCAAGGGAGAAAATAGCTATTTGCTGGTTGCAAGATATTTTCTGTTATAAACTTATTGTTCAAACTTTTTTCCTACTTATAAAAAAAAAATTTCATTTTAGTATCTCTTTTTCTATGGCACATAGTCTGTGACACAATGTAGACTGAAATCTTTCCTCTATTGAAGTATAGTGGCAAAAATCCCAGTGGCTTTAAAGGGTTTTCTTCCATATTTTTTATTAAAAAGTAAAATTAATACTTAGGGAAAAATCTGTGATTGCTGATTTTTGGTTTTGGCAGAGGTAAAATGACCTTTGTCAAAGGTCATTCTTCAGGCATTTGGTGTGATGTTACTACCAGATATTTATTAAGTGTACTAAGACCTTAGGAAGACAGGAAGGGATGATGCAGTGTGTATTTTGAAGCTCAAGCTGAGATATTTAAAGGCTTAGGCTTTTAAGATTGTATCTCTGATATAAATTCTGCATGGAAATAATTGATATCGACATAATGAATATTTAAGAATTTAATTTTATATTGAGATAAATACGTATTTTTCTTCATTAGCACTTTTGTCTGTAATGCCAAATAAATACAGCAGAGATGAAGAATAAAATGAGCTGTTGCTTATTCTTTCCAAACAAGGAATTAACCAGTAAGATACAGACGAAACTCAGAAAGCAGTCCTTTCTGCTTGAAAGGAGAATCTTGCAGTTTCTCCATATCTTCAGCTAAAAAACAAAGAAGCAATTCATACAATCATCATTGCATCATAGAATGTTAAGGGCCTTTAAGGTTTTTCTAGTCCCAACCCCCCTATCATGGGCAGGGACACCCCCCAGTAGCCCAGGTTGCTCAAGGCTTTATCCAACCTGGCCTTGAACACTTCCGGAGATGGGACATCCACAACTTCCCCAGGCAACCTGTTCCAGTATCTCCCCACCCTGACAAGTAAAGAATTTCTTCCTAATATTTAACCTAATTTTCCCCTCTCTCAGTTTGTATCCATTACTCCTTGTCCTATCACTACAGTACCTGTTGAAGAGTCCCTCTCTGGCTTCCTTTTAGGCCCTCTTCAGATACTGGAAGGTGCTATGAGGTCTCCACACAACCTTCTCCAGGCTGAAAAGCTCCAACTTCCTCAGCCTGTCTTCGCAGGGGAGGTGCCCCAGTCCCCTTATCAACTTTGTGGCCCTCCTCTGGACTTGCACCAACAGATTATTTATTAGAATTAAGTAATGGTATTTATACCATCTTTCTAAAAACTATTTAGCTATTTTGTCTGGAATCATGACCTTACTAGGTGCTAAGCAGCTATTGGAGGTGTTGGTTCTTTCATCTCCCACTGAACTGAGCACCTCTGTGGGTTGTTTGGTGCACTATAAAAGGCTCTTTAGTGCATGTTGTTAGGAGGAAATAATGCACCTACAACAAGTGTTCCATTTGTATTAAAGTTTTTGCTGTCCCCAGGCTGTTTTTCTTTTATCTTTTCTGCTGGTGAAAGTAGAGCATATTGAATGCCTTGCCTGCTGTGAAGTACATGACACTAATATTCATGTGTGTGTGTTGGAAAGTAGCTCCTTGACTCAGCTATCATAATACAATTTTTGTTATGTTTGTTAGGGTTTGCATGGTGCCTGACAAATAGAGCACTTCTGCTGCAGCTCACTGAAACTCTAACTGGTGCAGGATGTATGTGCTTGTACTGTTCCAAGGTCTCATATTTTGAAAACCATTTGCCAACATTAACTGTTCCGATCTGTGATCAGAGATTTGGATGGACAGTAAGGAAACTTGCCATAGCTACTAGTGTAGCAAATCTTTATTCTAGTCATTCTTTTTCTTTGAGTTATGTATCATCCATCCCTGTCCCCTTCCCACCCCCCCTATTTTCTTTTGTATGCATTTTCTTTATTTATTTTTATTATTTTGTTTTCCTAGGTCTAGGTGGGTTCCATCACAGAAATAACTATTGATGACCTCTGTGCAGAAGACAAGGATTCCTCACCATCAGAATTGGTGTATTCCATTACTCCACCTAGCAATGGGCACTTGGCTCTGAAGTCTTCTCCAAACAAGAGCATCCTTAGTTTTACCCAGGCTCATATAACTGAAGGGCGTCTGGTATTTGTACACAATGGTATGTGATTTCACAAATACCATGCCTGCTACCAAAATACTGTTCCTATTCACTATACTTGTGTTTTTAATCCGTTACAGATGCCATTGTAATGTCACAAAGATTTCAGAAACTATTTACATGATCTCACAAACTAAACAGAGAAGGGTCTGATGCCTACTTAAATGTGTGCCTACTGGGAAACCTTTGCGTACTGGTGCTTTATTTAATAGCAGCCTTCTTTCTGAAAGCAGTTTTGCAGTAAGGAAATGTTGCCATGCAGCTTTCAGAGATATGAAATCCAGGGTTTTGACTATTGTGATTGAAAATCTCCTGAAGCCTTTCTGTCTTGCTACAGTGCAGAGCTATTCATGGACCAGCAGTCTCACAGACACCTGCCATGATGTGGTGGTGATGGATGATCAAGCTGTGATGTGATGTCAACATCCCTTTCAGGCTGTGAAGGAATTGAGCTTTAAACATTGACTCTTTGTGCCAGTGGCCAGAGTTAGAGATTGGGTTTATTGTGCATTTGAGAGAATGTGTGGGGAATAAAAGAAGTCAGGGCAGCTTCACGCATCCTTGAGTGGTAGTGCTGGGAAGCCACATCCCAACAGGGTTCCATGCAGAGGAAGAGGTGGGGATTTTATATGGTGCTTATTTCCTGCTCCAGCTCTATTACCGTGTTACCTCAGCTGAAAGAAGAAACTTGTTCTACAGGAGGAATAAACCATTTTTTTTAGGATGGAGATAGAAGAGGTACAGCGCTATCTTGCCAGCCCCAAGGCAGGCTGGAATTCCAGTACTCCCTTGGCTGCAGCAGTTACTCCAGATCTATGTTGTGTCTTCATGAGGTTGATGTGCTCTGACTTATGATGCACTGTCTGGCAGAGTGTGTATATGTTACTGAAGTTGCTTTACAAGCAGTTGCTGGTGACCTATAAGAATCCTGCTCAAATAATTTGCCCAGAAAATTAAAGGTCAAGGGCATGACAAAAGTGAGCCAAGCTATTTAAATTGTTCCGAGGGAGACTTTGAAATATAAAAACCCTTATGGTGGTAGGACAGTGGAAGTCTCAGTGTGAGGAAATCAGTTCCCTTCTGTGTTCCTGAAAGGGCACATGCAAATCTGTAGTCTTAGGGAGTGAATCTTGATTAATAAAAGTGAAAAGAACAGAAAATTTTGTTTTCAAGTGAGTGGGAGTGTGGCTTGTATAGTAATTTTATAACATAAAATTGCCCAGGTCATATGTCAGGTCTTGCAGCTGCTCTATCTCTGCCATCTGCTCAGCCTCATGGCCTCCAGTGCTTCAGAAAGGACTCTGAATATTTTACTTCTTTTCCTTTCTCTGTCAGTGATTTTCTTTGCTCTCTCATCTTGAACTGTTGCTAGAAATGTACTTGTTACTCTCATTTTCTTGCTCCCAGCCTTGTCCTGTGGCCTTTCCTTGTGTTCTGCTGTCATTCAGATTTTTATCCCTTTTCTCTGTCCCTTGTCGTCAGTCTTAGAGTGTGCACTAGCTTCTTTGGGTCCTCTTGGGAAGTACCCCTATCTACTCTTCTACCCACTGTAGCCCTTCCAAGGGGAAGAGCAGCATCCGCTTGGCTGAGACAGCTCTTTCATTCCCTGGCTACTCCTCATGGCACCACACATCTTTTACATCTGTACCTGGCAGTGACTCTCCATTCTTTTCCATGTCTTTTGTACTGGAGTACTAAAGAAAGTACTACGCTTTTATGCTTCTAAGTTAGACCTTAAAACTTTCCCTTCATCTTTACTCAGCCTCATGCATTACATTATGCTGCTAATTGTGTGAAGTGAGTTGCAAATCTCTCGTGTCTTTCTCATATTGTCACCTTGAATGTTTTGTTTCTTCCGTAATCCCTGATTGTTTTGTCACCAGCATAAAAGTAGAACCAGAAGTACTCCTGTACTTCTGTACTCCTCTTTCAGCATGAGAATTCCTTATCTTTTCCACCCTTCCTTCACTCTAGAGTACTTCCCTCCCGCTTTTTCAGTATGGAGTCTGCCCACAAATCCTGCCAGTATTTTTCTAAGGGCAGTACTGAATTGAAGTCTTGTTGGTTCTGAGGTTGTAATGTCTTTTCAGTGCAACTTTTACAACCCTCTTTTTGGTGTCCTTTTTATCGCTTCTGATCAGGTGTGTCTTTGAAAATTAATTGATAAAGTAATTGATAAAGTAATAAATGCTCCACCCAAGCAGAAGTTCGAGATGTAGTTATGTTCCTGACTGCCGATGATAAAACATCTGGGTCAGTCAAGCAGTTGACCTGCATTAGCCAAAAAAGCAAATGAGGCTATGTAAGCCGGGTGGTTTTTTTTCCAACCTAGTGCAAATACTAGACTCCTTGATGCCTTTTTAAATAAGCAGCTTCTTCATTTATATCAGGAGAAAACATCAGAGAATAAAAACTGTTAAAATAAAAACTATATGACATGATCTTCCAGAACTGCTTCATTGTCTGGCTGGATATAAGAGCCAGGGGTGTTGTTAATTTAGGGATGTTGTTAACTATAATCTCAGAACCCACATTTGATTCTTCTGATATGTTAATCTGTAGTTAGGCAAGGTGTTCTGATCTTCACATGCAAGCACCCTCTGGCTTTCAGGATCTATATTGTTTTAGCAGTACCTTGTGGCTAAATTGAGCAAAGCAAATAGAAGAGCATGGTAACTCTTTACAACAGCTAATGTTTCAATCTCTCTACCTAACTGAACAGTCTGGGAAGCCTCTGCTTGAAGCAGTCAGTCAGTACTGAGAGATGTATTTTTACAGGAATCCACTCAGACTCCTGGAGGTATTTTGCTATTGCTTGTGCCAAAGTATGTAAAGATCCTAAGATTAAAGGCAAAAATGTGCATTTATTATGAGTACACATAACCTCTGAAATATTTTAAGCTGTGACAACATACACACTTCAGCAAAGCTGAAGTGCAGCAAAGGGGCAAAGGAAACAACCCGAGGGTTGATACAGACCTTTAAACGTAAAACAAAAGGAAAGAACATTCTAGTTACTTTCCCCTCCAGTTCCTTCTTTGGCAAAATGTGACTGCTTAAGTGCTTTGGACCGTCCTAAGCTATAAAAGAAGTTGGAAATCTAGAAGTCATTGTTTCCCCAAGTTTAAGTTGGTTTCAGCTCCACTGGGTCAGTAAAGAAAGAGACGAAGGGCCCGCTCTTCGTGATTTACATCTAAGGGATGTTGGCCTGCACTGTGAACAGCAGCCAGTAGTTCTTCCTTGGGTGTTAACTGCATAATCAATTTATTTAATTCTAATTAAGATACAAAGGTTCTGATCAAAAGTTGCTGTCACGATGACTTTGGATATATATTGTTAAGGAAACTTTCCAGTCTGCTCCATTCAGGAGTCACTCAGGCAGTCACAGTTATACCACAGGAGACCAAGGCCCTTTCACAGTGGGCGGTTGCAGTGACCCAACAGGTCACTGCCTGACTCCCTACACACACTGCTCACCCTACACACACCGCTCACACAGTCAGATTAGGTTTCCTTACCAGTTCAATCCCAGGTTTCCCATAGCAGAGTCTTAGGCACCCGTTCTTTAATATAATTTAGTCATGGTGCAATAACAGAATAACAGCTCAAGCTGGGAGCCTCTGAGGTGGGACCCTGAACAAGGACCCCTGGGCTTTTATACCCTCGCAGTCTAAGCACAAAGGAAGTCTGGGGTTCTTGGCTCCTCTTGTTTCTCTGTGTCCAGCTGGGCCACAGGTCCATGTGCCCTTTGTTGTGCAAAGGGTGGGCAGTTTGTGGCCTCTTGCCTGGGGCCCTCTTGCCTGGGGATCCTGCCATCCAGAGCTCAATCTGTAGCTGGCACTGCAGCTGCACACTGAGCTACCTGCACCAAATATATTCCTGAATAATATTTCATTGTAGCCAAGAGCAAAAGGTGTCCAAAAGTATGCTTGTGTTTTGTGTGACAGAGTAAGACAAGAATAAATTTATGATTTTCTTTTCTACAGGAGCAATGTATGGAGGCTTCAACTTTCAGGTGACAGATGGTTTGAACTTTGCACCTCAACAGATTTTTAGCATCACAGCATACACACTGGTCATTAGCCTTGAAGACAACAAAGGACTTGGAGTCTTTCCAGGTCTGTTTTTTAAGATTACGATGATTTTATCCAGTTGAAAATATTGCATAATATAGAGTTATTTGTCAGATACCTAACTGACTAAACTATGGAAAACTGTACCTGAGAACATCTGTCTGTATGATTTTGAAAAGAAGGGTTATGTTTTCTCAAACAACATATTGCTTTTTTGCTTTGTAGTCTAACTTTTTGATATGCTTGGAGTCAATAGAAACTGACAGTGAAATATATAAGCACAGTGTGACAATAGTACTGTCTTCCTAAGCTCTGAATATTCCCCATTCAGATTTGTTAAAAGGCTCTCTATTATATTCAGATATTTAGAAGTGTCCTAGATGGTTGTGATACTGATTGGTAAAAGCAGAATGGAGCTCGTGTCTGTCAGATTCTGAATAGCACATGTAAACTCTGCAGATTGCTAATTCACTTTTTTATTGTTTAAGATGGGTTATGGAGAGACTCACTGATGAATCAGAAGGACTGAAAACTTTGGTTCATATTGGTGCATTTGTAACTAGTTGTATCAGCAGCTAAGTGTTTTTTAAATGAAGTCATACTACTGCAGGAATTGATGTAAGAGGGTCTCACCAGAGCCATTTGCTCCTTGACATTGGCAAGAGTAGTCCCTGACTGAGGTAGTAATCTAACATTAATTGCAGGATTAAAGGAGTAATAGGTTAGTTTTCTCTGAGCAATGTCTTGCATCACACTTTTGTCTGTGCTACCTTTTTCTTTTCTCTGAATACAGTCTGTAGAGTCAGAGAGAGATGTAGAATTGGCAGTGTTCTAGAGGTATTAATCTGTACCTTGATTTATTAATTGGATACAGAAGAGGAGCACTTTATCTTCTTAAACTTCCCAGTTATAAGCTTACATAAACAAAGGTTTGCCATGAAAGCCACTTAAACACAGGCAACAAAAATGAGATTGTAGCAGCGTGATCTTCTAATTCAGTCAATATAAATGGGATTCACATAAATCCACTTACAAAGCTTATTACCATGCAATATTGGTATGTAAGGTTGCCTTGGGCACAAGGATTTACAGAAGTTCTATCTTAAGACAATGATAATTGTAAGAGAAGCATGGCAGATACTTCCACAGAATGCAAAGTCTCTAGACTGTCAATCAGTTCTTCACTTTGCAAAATACAGTATTTCTTTCAGCACTGCACATTGTATTAATCTAAGATTACAGTTTTTCCTGAATTTTCACTTACTTTGGGTGAGCAAAATTCCTTTTAGGTGTTAAAAAGTTTTACTAGCTTTTTCACCTGTTCTCTTTATGATATTTTTAAAGGACACTCTGGAGCTGTGTGGGTTTCAGCTGTACTTGGCTGTCATGAAATGACTAATAAAACAGTGCTGGTGCCAAATGGTTAATATAAATTAAAACAACAGCCAGTGTCCTGTTATATTTTATAGCACTGCAGAATGAAAGTTAATTTCGAGGCAACTTGAGAATCCTTCTCTCTGGGGTGGTAAAAATTGAATTAATTGTGAGGAATTTACCATGTCTTCTTGACTGGGTGTAAACTATTCTCTCAAGTGTATTGTTCTGCAATTTTATAAGAGCATGTACTGCTGTCTTTTGTTGTGTTGGGTATACCAGATTTGTTTACATAATTTATTGATTTTTTTCTGTTTAACAGGAGCTTGTTTTATCAGTGTGCCAGCAAATTGTCTGTGAGATACATGAGTTTTTTCACATGTATCCTGGATATCTGCAATGTGGGGATTTGCTCTCTTCAGGGAAGCAATTGCTCAAAGAAGGAATGAGCCGAGTTTCTCTCTGAAAAGGAGGGGCAGCCTGACTTTTAGTTATTTGGAAGCAGAGCTGTCTAATCAGTCCATAGATGAGATGATTCATAACTCTCTACCAGTGATAGGCAGAATGCTCATGCCAAAGCATTTTCCAAATCTTAAATGTAAAAATGTGTAACAAAATTATTATGTACCAACCTTATGCTGTTGCACTCTAGTTGTATGGATAAGTTTGGCTCTACTTGGCATCACCTGTCCTTATTGTGTGTCTTCCTCCTCTCTGTTCCTTTGGTTTGGGTTGTCTTTGTGACCTCTCTGCTTCTGTATTTGGGAACACACAGGCAGTGTTCTCACTTCACTTTCCTTCACCCAGTTTGTTGGGTGGGTGAAGACTAGAGGAGAACTACTGTGGGTGCTGGAGAAGGTTCTTATCTCTCAGGACAGGAGTGGGTAAAGGAGAAGGTTAAAGGTTAAAGGGGGAGGATCCTATTTTACAGAAGAGCATGATAGACTTTGTTGTCTGTTGCCCTAGGCTATATTTCAGCCTGTGCTGAGCAGTGAAGTGAGGTCAGGTCTATGAGGAAGGAACAGGGTTTTGTGACAGACATGCTTGGCCCTGCACTGTGGTGGTTGTGGTGTGATAACCTGGTATGATTATGAAAAACTGAAGCGGTAACTTTCATCACTACAGAGTGACCATGTTTTAGAGTTACTCTGTCCTACACTGTTAAGGCAATGAGGCCTGATTTACATAAGTAGCAGGTTACTGATAAACAACTGCATTTTCAGATTTATGTGGTCTGATTAACTGCTGCTCTAAGTTGTAAATTTCTGACCATATCTGCTGTATTCACAAGGTCATGCTTCCCTCCCTGACTGTCATAAAAAAAAGGGAAAAGAAGAGAGAGAAAGATAAGGAAGCTTTCTTGAATTAGATACAGTGTGGGAGAATTTTTCTAGACCTGAGGGACAGTTTCAGTTTTCAAAACAGTATGGACACAGAGAGATATGGGAAGGTAAAAATGGGAAAACAGACAGAGCCAGAAGATCTTATTTTGTTATAACAACTCTCCTTCGAAGTAGTTGTGATTTGAACCATGGCACAGCTGCAGGTAAACCTGATGTTACTAATGGCTTGCAAAGCATCCCCTTTCCTCTGAATATTGTAGCATATATATGTTATTTTGTGTTATTCCTGTATAAACATTATGGTTTATTGAAGGTGGATTGATAATTCAGACTTCAAGGATATATACTGCTAGTATCTGAAATTATGTATTGAAATCTGCAAAAGCTTGTTGCTTAAGAAAAAAGAAAATGTGAAAACTGAGGCAGAAGTGGGGATATAGGGAGAATAGGGTTATTGGAATCTATTGCTCCTCCAAAATTATCACTGAATGTGACTTTTAGTGCGCTGGCTGTATACCTTGAAAGTACTTCAAAAAAAGCCAAATAAAACTTATTTTTTTCTTTCAGGAAATTACTAAGTGTGGTTTCGTCACACCTATATCAAAAATTGTCTTGGTTTGACTAAATGCCAGAAAGCTCGTAATAATCTTTTTCATTTTTAAGCCAGAATTTAGTAACTTTAGTTAGGTTAGTGCAGTGCTATGTATCAAAAGGATTTTTTTACCTCTTAATAAATAATACATTATTTCAGTTCAGGCTGTCATTTCTGTTATATGATGTTCTTCCTAATTTGTTTAATTCAGTATTGATGTTTTAATTTCATTTAATGAAAATAATATTTCATATTGATAAAGCGTGCTTCATGTTTCTGTTAGTAATTGGCTTTGGTTTATGTGTTCACTGAAAACTTTACTGTGTTGAGGCTTCTTCCTGCCAAATCATCCTGTCCCTAGCAACTGGGAATACCCAAAACACTGGAGTATGAATTCAGTTCTAGACATGTCATGTAGGAACAGAGCTTCTTATACATGCTCTATTCCTTACTTAGGGTTGTTTTTGCAGAAGCTAATGTTTAGCGATTACATGTGCTGAAAAGTACTGCATTTTTTACATTTGTAAGACAAAGATACTACTAATGGCCTTTTCAATTGAAAAAAGAGTTGCAACTAGAAGGAAACTAGAAAAAGAGTAAGCCTGCTGATCTTATAAAACATTATTAAAAGGCTAAGTAGAATACCGGGGTGAGAGTGTGAGTTGTGCATACAAAACTTAACCGTTTGTAGAATTGCTCTTGTAAATATGTGTTTCCTATAATTGACACTTTTTTAGGTTCCAGGAAACCTATTTCACAACATGATCTTAAAGCTGTAACCAATGATGTGATCAGTGCAGGAAACAGAAGTATAACTTTTATGATTGTAACTTTCCCAAAACTTGGAAGGCTGATCAGAGTAAATTCTGATGATACCACTCAGAAAATTCTCAGTTTTACACAGTCTATGGTAAGCATTTACTCTGTAATAACTAATTAAGGGGTATATTGTTACTTCAAAGGGCAACTCAGTTGCTTATTCTTTGTCTGATTCCATTTATATCTGTTAAGTAATCAGGCATATGTGATCCATCAGTGCAACCATCCAGATTTGCTATGTCACTAAATATCTGGCATCTAGTAATGAATGCAAGGGCAGCCTTTGTTCCTCTCTGCTTGGATACTAGCAGGGTCTTGGCAATTCCCACTGTTTTGCTTGTAATAGTATTTGTCAAGAAAAGCTGTTCTGGTGCCATTAACCAGCAGGCAGAGGTTGGAAGCCTTTAGTTTCTGGCAGAAGAGGCAACCTTTTGCTCTATGAAAAGTCTATACTCTGAAAGTATCATATTCATTTATCTGTACACAGTCATGGGTGTCCCCAAGAGGACTTTTATTGACTTGATTGGCTGTGATACTAAGTGTTTAAAGTATCTTACCTGTAATATAGATTCTCATACTGAATGACTAAAACATGGCAGCTTATGTAACTTGATAGAAACGTTCTTCTGCAACAGAAATTACTTATGTCTGTGTGCAGAATCTGAATATGACTATGTCCTCTGCATTAAGTTATTCTCAGAAAATCAAAGTGAGGGAGACAAAAGGGGGTCAATCTTCTGACTTTGCTCATGGAAAAACCTATGTTTACAGATTTTAAATCTGGCTGTTTGATTCAATGTGTGAAGAAATGAGAAAATCTGTTGGCCAGAAATTGAAACTTGATAGGTAAAACCTGGAAAAAAGGTTGACATTTTTATTAGTTATCATCAAACTTTCAAACAGCCTGACCGAGGACTGTGATGGAATGAATCTCCACTTGGACTTTATAAAGCAAAATGAACACAGAACGGTTCTCATAAAACCACGTACTAATCCCATGATGTTATTGGTCTTGTTACAATAGATGCTGAGTTTTGTCTTAAGTTACTAAAGAGATGAACTATATGATGATGCTGCTCCCTTCTGATCCCAAAAGGTATGATTTTTTATGAGCATTAAATGAAAAAGTTAAGCATGTTCGACAGAAAATCTTTCAGTTAAGGTTTTGGAGTTTCACTCTTTATGCCTATGGATATGATTTTTATGTATGTTTATTAGACAGTGCCATGTCAGAACATACCAGTTATTTCTCTGTAGCTTTAGTTTTTACTAATGTATAGCTAAATTTCCTTTGAACTCTGTAAATTGTGTAAGGATTTGAGCTATAATAATATGTATGCTTTTCTTGTCTCTTGGAGATATTTCTATTGGCCATTTTAATTTCAAACAAGTAGAGCTAAGTGACTGCTTACAGGTAGAATTAAGGTATCCAAACCTATTGCTTGCTATTGATGCTGGTAGAGAATGAGGTATGAGGGAGAGAAAAGGTATCTAAATAAATTTTCAGTCTAGTGTGTTGTAGCACATGGAGTTAAAATACCAGTAAAAAAATTACATTGATGTTACAAACATTGTACATTCTCCATGTAATGGAGACTAAGACATTCAGTTTCTGTTTAGTAATAAGAGCTTGTAAATCTGATTGGAACTGAAAATATTTTGCATTAGATTAGTACTTTGGGTTTTCATACTCTTCATTCTGTGTTGAGGAACTTCAGATTTCACTTCATAAAAGTACTATGTTTTGCTGTGGTGCTGAACTCTTCCTGTGCCCTGTCGTTTATTGCTTTGTTGCCAGAGGGGGAAAAAAAAGGATTGAAATCACTATTGCCTTTCAAGGCATTTTTTCTTGAACAGTTGTTGTTTGGGAATATAAGAAAATGATTTGCGCATTAAACACTCTTGAATAACACAATAGTTTTTCAGCATGATATTTGCTTTTTTTGTCTCTCCCAACTTGAAGTCCTAGAGGTTTTGGAAAGTTACCATGAATCAATGTATCCTTTTGATATAATTTTTTTTCCTGTAATAGCCATTAAAAATAAAATTAGTATAGGGAAGGCACAAACCTGAAGATGTGCATATAGGATTTTATCACATCAGTCTGACTTTTTTAGAGAAAAAGCAGGATGGTTTCGAGGCTGCTGAGAAACCCGACCTTGAAAGCTCAGTTTCCCTAGTGATCTAAAAGGGGGCTGTTGCAATAATTTCAGTATTAGAACTCTGTATTCACACCTCAGTCTCTAAACTGCTAAAATGCTTCATCTGTGATAGCAGCAGGGAGCTTTTTGTTTTCCTTTTTCACACCTTTCAAGCCTATGTGATAGAAACGTGTGCTAATGAGTCCCGTCAGACTTTGCAGGCTGTGAGGAGCGTGTTACAATAGTAAACTCAGAACCGGAGCCATCTCAGACAGGGATCTCTGTGGCAATTACAAACTAACACATGCAGGCCAGGTTAGCAGTTGCCTGGAATTTACCAAGGATTTAATAGGTATGACTGTCTTCTCTCCAGGCTAGTGAATAAATTAGCAAGCAGACCAGATGCTGAATCTACTAGAGTGTTCTAATCTTGCTGTTATTAGGAATTCTGTTGCAGTTCCAGTGTATTATGGTATTGATCTTGAAATTCATGTATAGTTCCTGTTGATGAGAAATAGTCTGAAAATACTGCCTTTCGCTTTGGGTTTTAGAGAGATAAATGTTTTTATGTTGTGTGTGCATTTGTTTTTCTGAATATTTACTTCTGTGTCTTGATTACTCAGTGGACTGATAGGATTCTCTTGAGTATGATGATCTGCAAGGTCAGTGCAGGCACATGTAGGACAAAACAGGTTTCTTCCTGTTTCTTAGGAATCCCCTTCTTGCTGTGATGTATAAATTTCCCACTAAGTAATTTCATCAGCTCTTTGCTGATACTTGACATTATATTTCAACTGTCGTTACACTCCCTTCTGGTTTTCTTAGTCTCTTACCAAGTATCTTTGGCTGTTCCCAGGAAATACCTGCATCAAAGTCCTTTTCAATCCTTCAGTCTTTCATATGCTTTTTCAGGACAATGAGTCCAGACCTGCTAGTGTCCTTGTAAAGAAAAACCTTAGACATATGATACTCTGATTCACTAAAGATACAGTCCAGCTGAGCTTATGATCACTGTTACCATTGCTAGTTTGAAATAGGTTTCTCAGTGTTATATATCTCTGCTCTTCACATAAGGCTCTTACTGAGCATTCATGCCCAGTAACATTTTGCCTACTTGCAGGTAAGCTAATCTGGCAACACAGAGTCCATTTTAAGAAAAAGAGAAGTGCAAGATAATCTCAGCGTAAGTTATGTACAGGCTGGATCAGTGGGACAAGGCCAATGGTATGAGGTTCAGTAAGGCCAAGTGCCAAGTCAAGACCTTGGGTCACAACAACCTCAGGCAGCACAACCTCAGGTTGGGGCAGAGTGGCTGCCCAGTGGAAAAAGACCTGGGGATGCTGGTCAACAGCAGCTGAACATGAGCCAGCAGTGTGCCCAGGTGGCCAAGGCCAATGGCATCCTGGCTTGGATCAGCAATAGTACGGCCAGCAGGACCAGGGCAGTGACAGTCCCCCTGTACTGGGCACTGGTAAGGCCACACCTCAAATCCTGTGTCCAGCTCTGAGCCAGTCACTACAAGAAAGACATTGAGGTGCTGGAATGTGTCCAGAGAAGGGCAACAGAGCTGGGGAAGAGTCTGGAGCACAAGTCCTACTAGGAGTGCCTGAGGGAACTGAGGGTGTTTATCTGGAGAAAAGGAGGCTCAGGGGGCACCTGAAAAGGAGGGTCAGGGGGAATCTTATTGCTCTCTACAACTACCTGAAAGGAGGCTGTAGTCAGGTGAGGATCGGCTTCTTTGCCTAAGTAACAAGCTCTATAGGATGAGAGGAAATGCCCTCAGGTTGTGCCAGGGCACATTTAGCTGGAATATTAGGAAATCTTTCTTCATGTGAAGGGTGATCTAACATTGAACCAGGCCAGGGAAGTGATTGAATCACCAACTTGGAGATTTTAAAAGATGTGTAGATTTGGCACTTGGGGACATGGTTTAGTAGTGGACTTGTCAGTGCTGGGTTAATGGTTGGACTTGATCTTAAAGGTCTTTTCCAACATAAACAATTCTTTAAGTTCCATATATGCTGTGCATGGACTAAGGTACAAAGACCTCTTTGAACAATGTTCTCAAGATATTTTTTTTCTGTCCTTAACAGTCCTCTGGTTAAAGTCATTTTCCTCTTACACCTGTGACTTTCCTTTACCCAAAATAGGTTGATGAAGGTGTGATCATGTACGAACACTTACATGCTGAGTTAGCTGGCCGGAGTGCAGAAGATTTCTTTACATTTACTGTCTCCTCTCCACCATCAGCTCTGGACCTCCAGGTGTTCCATATTGTCATTTCATATGAAATTACCAGAGATGATCGGAATAGTCGTCTTCTAGCAAATACAGGTAAAAATGCTGTACTGTTTGGGCTCCAAATTGTTTTGGGTCTGTCAGGGTTCCATGGAAGAACTGAGGAAAAACAAAGGCTCCTTTCTCTTCAGTAAGCAATAAACAGAATACTTCTGACACAGTGTAATGTAGATAGTATCTTGGAAAGCCACATCACTACATCTTTAGAAATGAGATTAACTACCTATGTTTGATGATTCCTACTGCTGTAGAGAATATTCTCTATTTTCTGTAATTGTAGGTGAAAACACTCAGAAGTTTTGACACTCTGATATTTCTTTAATTTTAGTATATGCATCAGTAGAAAATCTTGTCTCTTATGTGTGACTGTATTTTAAAAGTAGTGGTAATACATTTTTAGTTATGACATATAGAAATCAAGGATACTATGAAGGAGAAAATTTTCTGAGCATCATCAGTGTTTGATATCTGATTTCTGAAGTATTGCAACTGTAAAATTGCCAATTACTAAGATTCTCTTTTCCTTTCTGCCAGGTGCCACAGTCCAGGAAGGAGGCAGAGTATTGATCAATAAAACAAATTTAGATGCTTCAAATCTATTGATTAAACTACCTGACATACAGTGCTCCATGTATGAAGTCTGGTATCAGGTTGTTTCTTTCCCCCAACATGGCATGATTGTTGTTGGAGAAAGAAACGTTACCAAAGAAAAACCTAATTTCTCCCAATACATACTGAACAAATTTGGAATTGTGTATGTAATAATATAATTCTGAATCGCTTAATGACAGTTTTGCTTTTGCTGTTTGGTTAAACCTAAAGAGCGAGTCTGCAACAAAGCCCCACAGTGAAGTTTTAGAGGAGATGTTTAATATCACTGTTTTTCCAGTGAATGACCAATCTCCAGAACTCAAGACTAAAAGGCTGCACTTGAAAGTCCTGCAAGGAGATATGTCAGTGCTGGGGTCGGAGAACCTGAAAGTTGAAGACTTAGATAATGCCCCAGCTGAGCTCAAATATACCATTGTTAGCAACCCCAATAATGGTTATTTAGCAATGAAAAGCAATCTCAGTGTCTCTATAAAAGATTTCACACAAGCTGATGTTGACAGTGGTAACATTTGGTATGTACAGGATGGAAGTTCATCTTCTGGGGTGTTTTGTTTCAGTGTGACTGACGGTAAACATCGCCCTTTATACAAACTGTTCAGTCTTGAAGTCATACCAATTGTTCTTGTCCTAGTCAACCTTACCAATGTTGTACTTCCACAGGGCCAGACATCTGTCACTATTACTAATGTTCAGCTTTCAGCTGTCACAAATGGAAAAAGCACTAACATTATGTATGAAATAACTCAGCCACTCAAATACGGGCACCTGATGATTGGAAATAAGCAGGTTACTAAATTTGAGCAGGCAGATTTGTACTCGGGAAGGCTCTCCTACCACCTGTCAAATCTCACTGCATCCGAAGAAGTACTGAAGTTCATGCTTTTCACTGCAGAAGGCAATTTAACAGGACAAGTGCTGAACATCACAGTGAAGCCTTTAGTACAAGTTGTACCTGATCTGCAGATTTCAAATGGAGTGGCTTATAAATTTGGAAGCAGTGACCTGGATGCATCTGAGCTAGCTAATTTGACAAATAGTAATCCTAGATTTGAAGTGATAGTGCCCCCCTCACATGGAAAGATTGTAAAGAAAAAGTTTGTGAGTGATGCAGTGTTTGAAGACATTCAGACATTCACCCAGGCTGACATTGATGGTGGTGTTTTGCTTCTAGACATAGATACAAATATGACGGGCGTTGATCTGTTAAATGACTCATTTACATTTATACTCAGGGCAGATGCTGTGCAACCTGCTGTTGGCTGTTTTCAGTATTCCATTGTGCCACACAGTCCTCCACTTGTGCAGGGTTTTACGACTGTGGTGGTTTGGACCTTGGTTTTTCCCCCAGAGGCTGAAGAGTGGTAGACCCCAAGGGGTGGAAACCCCTGGAAGTTTTGAAGTTTTGCCCAATGGGCGCTCCTGCAAAAATGTAAACATATCACAAGCTCACCGGAAGAGATGAGTTGTAGTTTAGTTGTGGTTGTTGGAGTGGTGGCCATGTTGTGAGCCACGAGGAAGGGGCTCTGAGCCCCTTGGGCCCTCTGGGGCCTCCCAGCCCCTGGCTGGGAGGGGACTGCAAAGACCTGGAACAGTGTTAGACTGGACTAAGTGTCTGTAGTATGCCGGGAGATGTTTTTCTCCATGGGCACAGAGCAGCAGCCGGCACTGACCAGAGAAACAGTGGCACAGAGCCAGGACAGATAAGACCTGAACTGGAGAAGCAACAGAGACATGCAGCATCGCAGAAAGGACTCCTGGAAGGGAGAGAGAGAGAGAGAGCAGCAGAGCTACAGAGTTTGGGGTAAGACTGATACCAGACCCCAAAACTCCCTTGAGACCCCTCTTAGAGAAGAGGGACATGGACTCCTATTTTGGAGAGAGTTTTAGATATGCAGCACCGGAGAGAGAGAGGAGCTAAGAAGCTCAAAGAGGTCCCGGAGCTGGACCGGGATGACCAGAGGAATGCAGAGGGGGTTGCCTTTGGTTCCCCCTCGCACTGCTGCCATGGTGGCAGCCTGAGAACAGGGCACAGAGGCCCTGCAGGAGCTTGAATCTCCTGGAGATACCAGACCGTCACGAAGACCCCCCTGTGTCTTCGTGATATGACCGTGGTGAAACGACCTTGTCTGGGGTGACGAAGCCCACGGAAGACCCCTCAGTTGTGAGGCGATGGGGCCGAGAGAGGCTTGGATACCTCCCTCGTGGATGCTGGCAGAAAGCCAGCCACAGCTGCTGCATACATGAGAAGAAGAAACCTGCTGCCTTGGAAGATGCTCCTGCTGTTCAGAGACTGGAAGGGATCTGTCCTTCTTTCCCTCCTGGACTTTTATTTGGAGGGGAGAAGAGATCTGGTCCATTGTAAATACATATGTCATGGTAGAGATATTGTGATCGTGTGTATAATGTGATTTGGTATTTATTGTACAGTCATTGTAATATATTCCCTTTCCTCCATTCTGAGTCTGGTGTGTTTTGTCTGGAAAAAACCCATCTCACATTAGGTTGAGATGTGGGAAGGGGCTTAGACTAGGGGATTGGATTTTGGGGCTATCTCAAACCATGACAATGACAGAAGTGCCTTTCGTAACCAGCATGACTACTTTAAAGGTTCATACTACCTCAAAGTATGAGGCACCAGCTTCCTCACAGGAGGAAGAGCCTGCAGTAGCACCACAGAAGCCTGAATCAACTAAGTGGCCAGGGCAGAATCACTGGGGATATCTACATGAGAAAGGCCCATTGCTAAATCTGGCAATGAGAACAAGTGTATCTGAGGAGATAAAGACTACAAGCCAGGTTAATGCCAAGAGTCCCAGAGAGCAAGTGGGTGAAAGCAGCAATGCTTGGTACATCATTATCCCTCTGGTCCTGGTGTCTGTGCTACTCATTGTTGCTGTTACTTTTGTGTGCATTTTGTTAATGTGCCAGAAGAAAGAGAAGACGAAATCACTTGTCAAAAGTCAAGCAGATGCAATCCTCAGTAGTCCCGGTCGGTGTCTGGAATGGAGCTTGACTGTACCTACTGTTACAGTGACTCCTCTTCTGAAGGGTGCTGAGAGAAGTACAGCATCAACATTCGTGGCAGTAAGACATGAGCAGCTGCTTCCTGCAGTGGTTTCTCCAACTATAGAAAGGCCTCTGCAAAACAGCATTTTAAATCTTGATCCTGAAGTCATCCAATATTGTCGGAAAACAAACCCAACTTTGAAGCGCAGTCAGTACTGGGTGTAGTTACTCCAGTTTTGGTCATGCTAATTGATGTAGTATGGAACAGAGAATATATGTTGTTGACATATAATTTGTTCTTTATGCACTCATTTATTATAGGTCAAATGATGCACTAGATGAAATCTAAATATCTGTGAAATAATAATAATAATAAAAATCTTAGTGATTACAGTGGCCATAAAATAAGATTTCCAGCTAGTACATCAGCAAAGTTCTCACTTAATTCAGTGCAGAATTTGGCCTCATGTATTTTGAGTGCATTCTATGTATGCACTATTTTTTATTTTCCATGACACGTAAAATGGAATGTTCTATCATGGATTATATATTTTTAATAGAATTACTTTTTTTCGAAGAAGTAATTTTTTATAAAGGTCTTGTATTCCTTCCTGAATCATGACTTGTATTCGAAGAACTTTAAACTATTCCAATAGGTAATTGCCATGGTGCTAATCTCAATAATATAATTTTGACCTGAAGGCTGTTCAGAGGCCAGTACTGAAGAAACAAAGCTGTGATTATTTTGACGGGTGTTCATCCAGGTCACTGAACTGGAAATCCAGAATTCAACTCAGCAACAATAGTACAGTACTGAATAAGGATTCTAGTAAAATGCTGTGAGATGTTGTTTGTTCTTTTGGTTTCTTTTTCCTTATTTGATACTGAACTCTAGCCTTTAGTGTCTGCAGGCTGGCAAAATATATCTGTGACCCGTAATCCACATGCCAAAAACTGTGTATCTGCCAGCCAGCCTGTCTGCTGAATTATCTTCAGGCTTAGGTTATGTCTGGATGTGCATATCAAAATTTCCTACTCCTGACAAAGGGGTTAATTCTGCTTTCAGTGAAGCAAACCTAACTTTCTCTGGAGTTTGTGTATTCAAGCAGATGACAGTAGAATTAAGTCCTGTGCTGCATATTGTCATGTGTCATGGAGCTACTGATAGAAACAATCCTGTGAGGTAGAATGTATCCTATTTTGAAGTTTCACAATTTACCCTTCATCTCCCAGAACACTGAACACATATGCCTTACACGCTACAAACAGAGTATTACCTACTTACTAACTTTGCTCTGGTGATAAAATGTGCAATAGTTTCTGTTCAAAGGGAATATTCTAGCATTTTTGGAAATCCAAGCTCTACAGTGATATGCAGCCTCCAGTTAAGGTCCAGTTTTTCTTCCACAGAGGACAAATGACAAAATTCCTGTTGACTTCAAAGAATGAACTGAATAAACTCAAGGGAATGGTGGTGTGATCATAACCAGTTTCTTACTACCACTCAAATCTTCATCTATTTTCTACCTCTATATTGTTACAGCTTCCAGATAGCTTCTTTGTAAAAACACTGTTCTCAGCACTCTCAGGACTGCACTCGCTCAGTTAACACTGGAATACCTTTTTTATTTAGGCCTATGTACTGTCATTTTCACTTTTATACAATGGATTTATGGATCTCAAGAGCCTTGGTGCTATTCATTTCATGCTGCTTTGTTTTGGATGATTTTTTATTGTTAACGATTAGGTATGTTTCTGTAATTTATATATTTCAATTATGGGAAATTTTTACCTACAAGGAGGGCCAGACTTAAACTCCGTACTGCTGTGTTCTGATAACTAAACACAGGAGCACTGGGGATAGCCCCTCTCATTTTTACCACCTCTGCCATGTTCAGCCATGATCGGGGTGCATTTTTAAGCAATACATTTTTCAGAGCCCACTTCAAGAAGAGTAGCTCATCACCAGAAAATATGCAAGCCATCTCTTCAGCTGGTCAAGTTGTTAGGGCACCAGAGACTAAAGATATGAACCCTTTATATGCTCAAACTAAAATGTATTTGAACACCAAGGGTTTTTGTCTGTCATTACCATATTTTCCCTGATGGCAGCATGTGAATTCAAGTAACTGATCAGTGTAAAAGGCTCGGGATGTTCACGTGTCTCTTATGGACCACTGTAGATCTGCATTGTGGACTTTTCTCCTTTTCCAAGAAAATCTCTGGCACTGTTTTGAGGTGGTGTTGTCAGCCATCACAGAGGCAACCCAGCATCCTTTGCGGAGGTACAGCTGTATGTCTTTTGCCATTTCCTGAGACCTCTTCTAGTAATACCAAGCAGACAGCAGCTTCCTCCAGATCCCAGCTGTCAGCTGCAGGCTGTCTCCAATGCCTTCTGGACAGTAGCAGCAACCTGATCCCTTTACACCTTCTCCAAGGCCACACTCCAAGGAGGAGTAAATAATTGTAATCCTGACGCTTTCCTGACACCTAATGAAGCCTGCCTCACATTGCTCTACCACTGAGACTGTCCTGTTAACAGCAAGAGGTCTCATGCTCCAATTCTGACCAGGAGATCAAGTGGTGTGCCTACAGTTTGGTACAGTTTGGACAATGCCAAAAGCTCCTGGAGTCTGGTGACAAAATGCACACTGCTGACTTGTGACAGGCTGAACAAAAATATGAAAGTGAAATGCATGCTTCATGAGATTTTAATAAAGATATTGGTGTAAGGACAGGTGTGCCCAAATCGGGATGCGTAGTAGAGATGGAGCGTGGGGCTTCCATATTGCTGGCAATGTAAAAGTGAGACCATGACATAATAGTGTCAAAGTCAAAGAACCCGCAATGCAGTTAGAACTCCACAACTGGGCATTCCTGAGTTTGAGCACTTGCATGCTCTGAGCAAGGAATCCTATATGAAAACCTCAGAAAAGGTGATAGAATTTGTGCAGGCTCTTTTGGCTTTAGCATAAGGGGATGAAGTCTTACTCACTGTTTCCAGTCTTACTCACTGTCAGGCTTTGGCTGACAACAGATGTTCATTTCAAGTAGATCAGGAATTACGGGATTGAATCTTGAGCATTTGGCTCAATTTTTAAAACATTGAGGGTTTTTTCCGATTTTGTTTTTTGTTTGTTTTTAATTGTTAAAATCAGCCTAAACACCTAATTCATCAGAGTAGTGTGCAAGCATTCAGTTTTCTCCCTCAACTGTTGCTACTGTGAGGCAGCTGTGCCAAAATGGCTACCATATTATGCAATGTTTTAATGAAAACTGTATGGATGTGAGCTTATTGTGTCAGTAATTACTTGGTTTAATGCAAAATGCAGAGGTAATATTGTAGCTGATTACTACATATGAATTTTGCTTTTATATCCCACCCTGAATCCCTATTTAAAAAAAAAAAACAGGAAAAAATCTGATTACAATAATGTAAACTTTCTCTGTGGATGGTACAGAGTAATCTTTGCCAGAGGACAGTCTACGTTGTTCACGCATAGATGTTTTATATAGATGAGAGAAGTCAGTCCTGGCTTAGCTAGAAGTCCAGCTTTGAGATGGTACAATCTGGCTAGGATGAATCACATACTGGGTTTCCTAAATTACTGTCAATCTAGAAAACTCAAAAAACCCCCGCATTTTGTGCTTATGGATTCTTTTGTGATTCTAGGAACCTACATAGTTAACGGTCAGGATCTGGTTTGAATATTTTGGTTGTTTCACTTGGCCTTGAAGTTACATGTTTTATTTAGTGAAGATGAGGTTTGTGAAAGATTCCCTTTTTTACCAAATGGAGTTCTAAACTGCAACATGGAAGTCCCTTGAAAACATATATTAAATCAATAAACTGTTTTGTTTATAATCTACACAGTTAAGTTTTTATGCTTTCTTTAAAGACCTGTGCAATGCTGTGTCACAACAGTGAAGAGACAGAACAGGATCCCTGTGCCAGTAACAGCATTCTTTTGAGTTTTATGATGTTTATTTTTTAAATTGCACATATGCTGGGATGGCTGTTTTGCTGTGCCTAGTGCAACACAATGTGTATGGCTAGAAAAGGAGAGACCTCTCATTGTGCATCTAACGTGGCCATGTCCAGCGCTTGAATGAAAGTAACATGAGAATAAATGCATTGATTTGAACTTGCTCAAACAGGACTGCACTGGGCTAATTTCAGGAAGATTTTCTGTTATTTAGCTGCACATGATTAGAAGATTTTAAAATATTGCATTCTTAACTGTTAATACATCAGTGGTGTTTAGTCTTTGATTTTTCACTTGATCAAAAGTATGCACTTACTCCAGGCTCACACCAAATGCATTGTTCAACCTGATTTTTTTTTCTTAATCAGAACTCAGGTGCTTCGTAGTTGTTCCTGTAACTTGAGGTAAGGAACTTTCTCTTGATGCATCAGAAATGCTGGTGGCCTGTGGGAGCAGATTTCCCTGCACCATGACTCAGCATCCTGAGCGCAGAAGTCTGTCTCAGCAGTAGTGAGTCTAGTTCCCCTCCTACAGCTCAGAAAATGTTGGTTTGGGAAGAAGATAAAATAGGACAGAAATGGTCATAAGCCTCTTATGGTTTTCCTTTTATTAAAATATTAGTAAGGGCCAGCTACAACTTTCCCTGCAGTATCCTATTACTCCCTATTACAAGGCCAAATCCAGAGTGAATGTACTTAAGTGTCCTTAGCTATAGGCTTCCATCCTGCCTGCACTGTTTTTTTCAGTCAGTCCTTGTGATGCTATGTTGAAGTACATTCTGTGAATATTTTTAAATGGGCTGAAAATAATTGTCCTGGCATATTCAATGGAAACTGTATTAATTTATCTTCACCTGTTTCAGCTAAATAATTCCTGCTAGAGCTTGCATATGTAATCCCAGAACAAAATGTTCTTTCATTGCAACTGGGGAAATCTGTATTTTCACATCTGTTTGTACGGAGATTCTGTGTGGTGAAGTGCTAGCTTTATGTGATTGTTTCCTCATTTCTAGTCTTGCTGCTTGGTTATATTTGTGGGAACGCTTTATACATGCTGGTAGGCACTGCCAGACATGGAGTTATTTATAGGCTGAGATTTCAGCTGCAAAATATTTGCATAGCATCACAGTGAGAGGGGCATTAGTTTGCATAAATTTGTTGAGTAAAAATGTAGGATGAGCAGACTGAGCATTGATATGGGATGTTACCAAGTGTCAGAACTTCTTTGAAGAACACAAGCAGTAGATCGGAATAACTTCATGTGATGTATAGCATGTGAATGATCACAGAGATTTGCTCCAGCTCATACACTGTACAACTTCATCTTGCACAGGTCCTTTTATATATGGTGCATGGAAGCACATTGATGAGGAAATTCTTGAGAGAATAAAAAAATCAGAGTAATCAAGAGTTTGTATTTCATGTACATATTTAAGCACATATAAAGGAAAGGCAGAAGCACTTAGGAGGTTGGTTTGAGATGTGCAAAGCCACCAGGGAAGCTGCTTTGCTTAGCAGTGGGTGCTGAGGAAGAGGTTGTTTAAGAGGCAGGGGAAGGTAGTAGGATTACAGAGACAAGCTTTCTGGCATTAGATAGAGTTTCTAAAAGCAGGGGAAGGTCATTTGGAAGCAGACCTATGGGCTTGTTTGAAAGGCAGAGGTGATGTGCTTGGTTCAGTCTCAGACAAGTAGGCTATGTGCCACTACTACTTGCAGAGCTCACCTCACCACGAGAGAATGGGAAGAGAAAGTATCAAGAGGAGTTTTGTTCCCACTAAAGGGGACAGTTGTATTGAGACAGGGGTATGAAGACCTAGAAGTTCAGTTTGCCTTTTCTTCTGCTTCCCTCTGCAGCTAGCGAGAAATCTAGTAGAAATAAATCTCCTATGGCATGAACATTTTGAATGTTGACTTAGGAACGTGGCTGCCTTTCAAGAAGTCCAGTTGTGGGTTCATCAGATCAGATTACCAAAATTCTTATATAATCATCTCCCAGTCTGGCTGAGCTAAGTTGCCTAGGGTGTAACTCAGATGTTAAAGTCTGTTGGCATGAATATTACCTTAAAAACAGAGCTGCAAGGTTCAAAGTGCAGTGAAGTAAGGTGAACTTGCTTGGGCTTTTGACTGACTGTAGTTGTATTTAATGATTAATGGTAAATCTAGTTATCTGCAGACACTGAAAGGTATTTATAAGTAAGGCAACAGAGGTCTTGATTTTGGGCACTGAGCTAAGTAATGCAAACAAAGATGGACCTGAGCTTAGTTCTCGAAAGAAAGGAGAGTAGCTTTAGAACTGATCTTGCTTACACATGGCTGAACAAAAGACTGTTGAAGAGCAGCACTAGGATAAAATTAGACCAAGGAGTAGAAGTAAGCAGAAGTATGATGAATTGACTAGAACAATCAAGTGGCTACTTTATAGAATCCCTTAGCCAATCGGTATTGGCCATCTCAGGTTCTATACGCTTCTAGAAATGCTATAGTATAATCATCAGTGAGACAAGTTGCTCATTTTTCTTCCTTGAATCACCTTGCTCCTGATTGCAGGACTTATGTTCATTTAGTCTTCCCTGTGGTGCTCATTTCTGGGATTTGGAGACATCTCCTTGCTTCTGAGCATGGGATCTGCCCTCAGAAGCACAGTACTTCTCTGTGTGCCATTCAAGAGCCAATAGGCAGGTCACAGTTGGTCATCACATCTCTGTTGTAGCCTACTCTAATCTGAACCCACGAATTACAGTTAAAGACACATTTAATCCCATTCCCATTTCACTGGTTCCCTAGAAAGTCTGGAAGTTTCTAAAATGGTGAATTCATAGTGCCCCTCAGTAACAACACAGCTCAGGAAGAAGCAGCTTGTTCCCTCAACACCTAGCTCAGCTGCAGCTCGTGCTGTGCTTGGCAGACCTTGGACATTTGGCAGCCTATTTCATGTCATAGTGGGCTGTTCCACAGACAGAAGACGAAAGCCTTCACTGCCTGGCCTCTGCACTGCTGCTGCTGTCAGAGAGAGGTCCTCTCCTGCATCTTGAGTGCAGCTGCAGAAGAGGGAGTTGTTCTCAGTGGCTGTCAAGCAGTGGAGCCCTGATCTAGTTTCACAGATTCCCTCCTTCCACCCAGCTGGGAAATTCTCGGGTTGCCTGCTGTGAGCAGAGGGCAGTACTTTTCTAAGAAACCCATATGTACACATGTTCTGTTTTCTTTAAAACAAACCCTCTTTCTTTTCTAAGAAACACAAACACAAAATAATAATATATATATAAATCATATATAAATCAGAACCTCTGCCAGGAGCAGTTGTAATAGTTGTAAACAGTGCATCTCCTCCCAGGCATTAGAGCTACAATTTGTATAGGATGGATGTACAAACCTGAATGCAGCTTTGTCCATTACCTCAGTGACAGTTAATGTCACTCTCCATTGTGTCATTTTCCTCAAACAAGTCTGACTGCCTAGGAATTATTTCTGTTAGGGAGCTGGTTTAATTGCTCAGTGGTCACAAGTCTCCAGTACATGTTTCTTTAGTTTACGGGAAAGTTCAATGAGAAGGCATTCCAGTGCATAGACTTTGCAACAGAAAAATTCTACTTGAAATGATTCAAAGTCTTTTTAACTCCAGAACTCTTGGAGCTGGTAAGTGTATTTCAAGGAATAGCATGGCTGCTGTTGGCAACTTCTCCACCTTTTCTGCTTTAGGAAAAAAAAATACACCAACCCTCCTACATATGGGTAACTGTGGAATAGTTTGAGATAAATAGGAAAAGGTATTTTGTCTTCAAACTCTTTTCTGATGACGCAAGATGCGGACCTGTTTCTTTCTTAGCTATTGACATCATAAACAAAATACAGCAAAAATGATGAGGCCACTTGTGCAGCCAGTGCAGAGTCCTCTGAGACTATGACTGCCTTTCTTCAGCAAGTGCAGAGCAGCTGTAGCTGGAAATGTGTTTTGGATGCTGTGTGGGGAAATCATCCAACTGGTTATACTGACAGCACATGCTTAAGAAATACCAGAGGTGGATCCAGCAACTATGTCAAGAAGGTATTTTTATTTTCTTGTTTACAGTTTCCATAGAGGAAGGAAGTTACTTTTTTCCTATTAGGAGATATTTATATTTACAAAGTACTTCACTGAGCTCAGCTTTTTGCCCCATGCTAGAATGGATGACAAAAGTGACTAACAGCTTCTGCACAAGCATGTGATTCAGAGAAGGAGGAAGATGCCTGACTCAAAGTCTCTGCAATCTGCCTTTGAAGATTCCACAGGCACAGGAAATGGCACAGCCTCTCTTGCTTTTAGGGCAGACAAACAGGACTCCTGCATCCTTTGAAAATAACACAGATGTTGGAAATACAGGTAGTTACACAGCAGATTTGTTGCCTGACTGGTTGAAAGTGACTTCTTTGTGCCAGTTTGCTCCTTCAAACCTGGCTCAGAGGGATCTCTCATGGAGGGTGTAATGGGAGCAAACATTGTTGACACCATGTTATAGGTTAGAAATCCAGGAGAATTTTTTCTTCCCCCTGCCCCTCACTGTAGGAAAGACAGAGTTTTAATGGAAAGGGGGAAAGGGGTCAATTAGCCTTACAAAAGAACTAGCTAGCCATTCCTAAGGGATGGCTCCATCAGAGGCTGGGGGGAGAGGGGAGGAGTTTTGGGAGGGGGTGGCTGGCTCTTCTCGGAAGGGGGTGGCTGGCTCTTCTCGGAAGGGGAGAGGTCAGAGAGCTGAGTTCTCTCTCTTGGATGGAGATGTGGGCCTGCATGTGGGCATCTGGAGAGAAGGCCTGGAGATCTGTCTTTCTGGCTTCCCGTCCTGGTCAGCCCTGACTGCTGGCCTCAACTTGCCTGCGAGCTGTCTTTTGTCTCCAGCCTGGACCTGCTGCGTTTTCATCGGAGAGTCTCTGTGCTCGCTGGGAGAAAAGGAGGAGCTTTGAAACACCGTCATCTGAGAACAACAGTGAGTCCCGTGGGGGGTGGACTGCTTTTC